GAATGGTGGCAGGATCTGGTCTAAGCAAGTGAGCGGCTGAGGAAGCTCCTCCCTCCCAGCCCCAAGCAGCCCCCTGAGAAGCTGGGGGAGGTGAGAGTTTAAAGCAGGGACTCAGGGGCCAGGGATCTGAAATTCTCGCAGGAAGCCTCTGGAGAGAGGAGAGAGGCTTCGGTGAACCCCGCCCTGACCCCGTTACAAGGATCATGGAGTTAACTTCCTCTCAGGTGGGGGGTGGGCTGGGCCTCAATCCTCCCACCTGGGAAATGGGTTTTCTTCACTGCTCCCAACTCCAAGTGCCTTCATGCTGGCTCTGGAGCCAGGGAACCCTAGACCTTGGCCCTTGGCCCACCCACTCTGGATAAAGTGGGGTTTATTCCTCTGAGATAATGTAGGATTTGCAGAGAGCCCCCCCCCCCCATCCTGATATCTCTGGGCCCTCTCGGGGGGACAGGGTGTCGAGTCCTGTAAGTTTCTTCAAGTCAGCCTCCTCTACAACCCCCGTCTGGGGGACCCTAGAGGACATGACTCAAAAACAGGTCAGCATCACAGATCCCGGCTTCGTAGAAACCTCTCTGAGGGTCAGGAAAGGGACCCACTCATCTCTTTCCTCCCATACCAGGCCTCCCAGCAACAGACAGTTCAAGAACATTATATGAAAATCAACAGCAGTAGGAAAGACTCAAGTCGGATCTCAGAGGCACTTACGGACTTAAGAACGGATGCAATGCAGCAAGGAAGCCACTTGCCTAAACTCTCTCTGGGAGATGACTCCATCCCTGGATCAGAGCTCCCCTCGACCTGCCCAGCACCCCAGCATGCCCCTCAGGGAGTTGAGAGATGTCGTGGGCACCCGCTATGGCAGGGATCTCTACAGACCCTCTTGCCCATGATGGGGGACTGAGGGGCCGGTAGACAACCCCAAGGGAGAAGGCAGCAGGCACAACGCAGGTGGGAACAGCAGGTGCACGTGCTGAATGGGGGAAGCGGCTTGTGAATGGGAGCTGGAAATCAGAAGCGCTGGCGGGAGGCAGGGCACCAGCTTGTACAAAGGCCATCATTCCCCAGGAAGGAGAGGAGAACAGTGTGGGATCTGAGGCCGGCGTGATGCTGGCATAGCTGTGAGGGCCAGACACCCCCTTCTGCTCCTACCACCACCACCTCACATTTGGGGAAACTGAGCTGGGAGCTCCAGAGAGGACTCAAGACCGGCGATAGGCGACACAGGGGCTGGAGGGAGACACCCTTCGCAGTGCCTCTTGGCGGAGCGGCCTCCCTCCTACGGGCCTCTGTGAACGAGGCCTCCCTGGACTCGCCACGCAGCCCTCACAGGAGGAGGCACAGCCAGGGCTCTGCCAGGACACCAAACAGTCACTGTCCTGTTCTCGGTACCAGGCAAGTGCCAGGCCGGCGTGCAGGGATGGGCTCCACTGGCAAGCAAAGGAGTCACAGCTCGAGGAGGTGGAGACTCTGTGGCCCAGGCCCAGGCGGGACCCTGCGGGCTGCTCAGGAGGGAACCCTCGCCTCACCGCCCCAATTCCCACTCAAAATCAGGAATGGTGAGCAGATAGGGAGGGACACCCCGGAAGTGGTATCTGCATCTTCAGGGTTTGAGGGACAAGGAAGCCAACGTGGAAAAGTGGATCCAGACAGGCCCCTCCCCACAGCTCCGTGAACTGTTTGTTTTGTTAATCCTCTCCCGAGGATTTTCCATTCATTTTTAGAGAGAGTGGAAGGGAGGGAGATAGAGATAGAGATAGAATCACTTCTCGACCTTTTGGCTAAGATCAAGTGGAGATAGAGATAGAGATAGAGATAGAGAGAAACATCAAAATGAGAGAGAAAGAGAGAGAGAGAGAGACATTGATTGGTTGCCTCCCACACTCACCTGACCCAGCTGGGATCAAATCTGCAACCCAGGTCCGTGACCGGGAATTGAACTTCCAGCCCTTCCTTTCGAGGGACAATGCTCTAACCCAGTGGTCGGCAAACTGCGGCTCTTGAGCCACATGCGGCTCTTTGAGTTTTTAGCAAAGGCCAGCTTTGGAGTACTCTAAGTTAATAACAATGTACCTACCTATATAGTTTAAAAAATTTGGCTCTCAAAAGAAATCTCAACTGTTGTACTGTTGATATTTGGCTCTGTTGCCTAATGAGTTCGCCGACCATTGCACAAACCACTTAGCTTTCAATATCTTTTTTTTTTTAAAATATATTTTTATTGATTTTTCACAGAGAGGAAGAGAGAGGGATAGAGAGCTAGAAACGTCGATGAGAGAGAATCATCGACCAACTGCCTCTTGCACACCCCCTACTGGGGATGTGCCCGCAACCAAGATACATGCCCTTGACCGGAATCGAACCCGGAACCTTTCAGTCCGCAGACCGACGCTCTACCACTGAGCCAAACCGGTGCCGGCAGCTTTCAATATCTTGATCAATCCCCAGAAAGCCTTCTCCTCCCATGACTTCTTGGCCTGCATGCCTCATGGCCAGAGGCCAGGCTGCCCAGCAGTCAAGAACATGGATGGGCCTGTCTGCCTGGGTGTAGATACCTGATCTGCCCTTGACTAGCTGTGCGGCTTTGGGCAAGTGACTTCACCTCTCTGTGCCCCACCTTTCTCGTATGTAAAATGCAGGCAGCTGCAGCACCTCGGCACAGCTGATGTGAGGACGGAATCAATATTCCTAAGGTGCCCTACAGCACCTGGCCCAGGCGGGGCTCAGGAAGAATTGTTTTGGTGATGTGCTTGGAGTCTGTCTCGTATTGAATCAGAGGTTCTAGACGTGGCAACGTTCTGAAAGCTGGGGGGCTGGGGAGGTCCTGCTGCACCCCAGCTTGGCAGCAGCCTAAGTTTTTTTTTGTTGTTTTTTTTTTAGTTTTGTTATTGTTGTTGTTTCAAGTATTACATATAGTAGTACATATATCTCCTTTTCCCCCCCACTGACCTTCCCCCAGTCTTCCCTACCTAAGTTTTTAAAAAATATTTTCTATTGATTTTTTACAGAGAGGAAGAGAGAGGGATAGAGAGTTAGAAACATCGATGAGAGAAACATCGATCAGCTGCCTCTTGCACACCCTCCACTGGGGATGTGCCCACAACCAATACATGCCCCTGACCGGAATAGAACCTGGGACCTTTCAGTCTGCAGGCCGACGTTCTATCCACTGAGCCAAACCAGTTTCGGCCCTACCTAAGTTTTTCTGTGGCTCCCCTAGTCCCAGCTACAGGCTACCCTCCACTTGCTCGTTCTATTTTATAATTATCTAATCAGCCCAGACCTCATGGCCTGCCCAGGATCCCACAGGCGACTGTGCTCAAGGGACACAGGATGGGGAGCCCAACTGCTCCTCCCAGCACCCCTCAACCACACCCCACACTACCCCTTCTGAGAAGACGAGGAAGCCCAGGACCACCTGAGTGCTGAGGGATGACAAAACGGTCACTTTCTGCAGCCACCTCTCCCTGCCGTCCATGTCCTCAGGGCACTGTCTCAGCCAGCTGGCACCAGCTCCCCCTTTTCACAGACTGGGACATGACCCTTCACAGCTGAGACCCCAGATCTCCCAGCCTGTACCACCTACAAAGGAATGCGGAGCCCCCCGTGCAGGTCAAGACCATCCAGATGCATACCCTCTGGGCTGCCCCTCAGCCCCCTACCCTTCACCCCTCCACAGCCTCTCTCAAAACTCAAGCCTCTGGTTAAGGCTATAGTCACTTCACAGGGAAGGTCTGAGGGCTGAGGAGTCGAAACCCCAGACTTGCTCCCAGCCTTGTCCCAGATTTGTGTGCCCCTGGGCTTCCCCAGTTGTCAAGTGGAGACCTGGGACACGGGGACGCGGCGGGAGGTGGCGAACCTCTGTGGGGAGCTCTGGCGGGAGGGCCGGGAGCCGGGCTGGGATGCTGTCCGTGGTGCTGAAATCGCGCCCTTCCTGAGAGCTGGGCTGGGAGGCCTGGAAGCGTCCCGCATGGACCCCACTCGCGAACACAAAACTTCACACACACGGTGCACACAACTCACAAACACTGCCCACCGGTGCACGCCCACCCGGGCACACGCACACACACACCTCCATTTCTCCCTAACACATCCCAGTGACCCACCACACAGACACACCCCTAGGAACACGCTCCTCCCCACTCCTCGGCCCACGCCCCCAGGACCCCCGCCCCCCAGTCACATGCTCGTGATCACACACAAGGTCTGCAGTGTCCATGCTCGCAGGCCACAGAGCACAAGCCAAGGAACAAGAACAGCAACAACACAGGTCTTGTAGGGTGGCCCTAGGATTCCTCTCGGCTGCAAAAGGGATAGTAGGGGGGCACGGTGGTGACCCTGCGCCTAACCTCGCTCTGAGCTTTTCCACGCATCAATCAACCGGTTTTATCCATAACATCTACACACCCACTGAGACATGTGCCTATCACCCAGAGGCTGGCGGCTCAGAGAAGACACAGCCGGGAGACCCCGGGATGCTCAGCGCCCCCTCCTCGCGCAGCACCCAGGCTCCGGACGGGACGCGCCTCCCAGGGGCGTGCAGCGCAGGTGGAAATCGCGGAGCCGGCCGTGTCCGCTTAACCCTCTCTCTGCCGGCCTTTCCGAGGCGCGTCCTTCCAGGGCGCACTTCCTTCCTCCTTCCTTCCGCTCTGCCGCCTCCTCGGCGCTCACGTTCCCCTCTATTCGTCCTCTCCGTCCCTCCGCGCCCAGACCCTAGTTTTGCGGCTGTGACGTGCGCCCTCCCGGCGGGGCTGGGGATGTGTGGGTGCGCGAGAGGGCGCGTCCCTCCCGGGGCCCCTCCAAGGGCGGAGCCTCTCGCGCGCCCAGGTCCTTCCAGCCGGGTCCCGGACGCGCCCGAGGTCACCGAGGGGCCCCGAGGTCAACCGCGGGGCGACCGCCCCGCCCTCCCGAGACACTCCAAGGACGACGGCCCCGGCGCTTCCGCCCGCGGCGCCCCCTCCGCGCCAGCCCGCCCGCCCGCCCGCCCCTCCCGGGGGCAGTACCTGAAGTCGCTGTACGGGTGGATGATCCAGGCCCCCGCCGACTTGACGCGCTCCTGCTCGCGCTCCACAGCCTTCTGGCTGCCGAACATCCGCAGCGAGAACTTGTTGACGCCCGGCTGCAGGAGCGCGCCGAACTGGCGCTGCATGAAGCTGGCCTGGCTGCCGCGCGGCTCGCCTCCCGGGCCCGCCTCCTCGCTGCCCGCCTCGTCCGCCGGGCCGGGCCCCGGAGCCGGGCCGGACGCGGGCCCCGCCGCTGCCCCGCGGCATGAGAACGACACCTTGGGCCCCCGCGCCGGGCCCTCGGGCCCCGCGGGGCTGCACTGCGGCTCGCCGCGCCCGCACTCGCCGTTGGGGCTGCCCTTGGCCGTGCTCGCCGCGCCCGGGGTGCCCGGGCGGCCGCACGAGCTGTCGCGGCTGCGGAGCCGGGCCCGAGGGCCGCTCTCGTCCGCCGCCTCCGGGGGCGCCGCCTCGGTGCGGGGCGGCTGCTGGAGGGGCGCGGGCCCGGCGCCAGGAGGGGGCGCGGGCGGCGGCGGGGGCGCCGGCTGCTGCTGGGGGGGCGCGGGCGGCGGCGGCGGCGGCGGCCCCGGCGCGGGGGTCGCGCCCGGGCTCTCCCCAGGCCGCCCGCCGCCCCCGCGCGCGTCCATGGCGAGGCGGCGCCGGGCAGTGCGGAGCGGAGCCGCCGCCGCCGCCGCTGGCCGGAGCCCGAGGGAGGGGGAGGCGGGGGCGGGGCGGGGCGGAGTCGCGTGGGGTGGAGCCTGGCTCGCAGGGGCTGGGCAGGGGCGGGAATCCCGCCTCCGCCCGTGTGCGCGCCGGGAAACTGAGGCCGCGCGCCGGGGACGGCCCAAGGTCACGCGGCCCCGAGCCCTGAAAGACCGGCCCGGGTATCTTCCCAGAAGTGGAAACCGAGGCCCGCGGAACGGCAGGACGCGCTCAAGGTCACCGAGCCCAGCCACGGGGCCTGAACCTCTGCACGCGACCTTGGCCTTGGCTTTCTCCTCTTTCTTCCCAGAGCACCCGGCGGGGCGGTGACCGTTACCGGCGGGACGCGAAGTGGGGCGTTCCCGCGCCAGCCTTTTTCCTTTCTTTGGGTTTGAAGATTTCCATAATAAAAGGCTGTTTTGAAAGGCGAGGAGAGCCTTGCTTGTTCACTTGAGGGCCCCCTCCAGGGAGAATGTGTTATGTCATAACTTATGTGGGAAGGGGCAAAGTGGGGTCAATGCCGCTGTTCTCACTCCTCAGTCGCCCCTTCCCCCCCACCTTCTGCATATAAGGAAACTGAGGCCGATAGGAAGGGCGCTGGTGACTCACACCCTCACCCAGGGTCCTAAATCACAGTGGAACACAGTGTGAATTTAGTGGGCATTTAAATTTTTACTTACTGATTTTAGAGAGAAAAGCATCACTTCGTTGTTCCACTTATTGATGCATTAATCTGTTGATTCTTGCCCTAACTAGGGATCAAACCGAAACCTTGGTGTGTAGGGACAATGCTCTAATCAACTGAGCTACTCAGCCGGGACATAATCAGTGGGCTTTAAAACCAGTGTGTCTCAGTGGTTGGGCGTCGACCTAGGACCAGGAGGTCACAGTTCAATTCCTGCTTGGGGTGCATGACCGGACTGCAGGCTCAATCCCTGATCCCCGGTGTGGGGTGAGCAGTTGGCGGCAGATTGGTGGTTCTCTCTTAATCATTCTTATCTCCCTCTCCCTTCCTCTCTGAAATAAATAATAATAATAATTAAAAAAAACCAGGTCCTAGCTCAGTGCATAGAGCATCGGCCTGAAGACTGAAGGGTCCCCTGGGTTCAGTCCAATCAAGGGCACATGCCTTGGGTTGTGGGCTCCGTCCCCAGTAGGGGACGTGCAGGAGGCAGCCAATCAATGATTTTCTCTCTCCCTCTCCCTTCCTCTCTGAAGTCAATAAAAATATGTTTTAAAAGAATCGGAAGTCCCAGAACCTACCATCCCTTCCCTCCAGATGCCCAATTACTCTGCCCCAGACAAGCTGCTAGCCTCCAGCCCACCCCTCTGCCTCCAGCTCCGAGAAGGCACCTGAGGTTCTGTTTCTGGGGCTGGAGCCAAGCTGGTGTTAGGTGACAGGGGGCCAGGCCCAGGACTCTGTCCTTCGCCCCTCCCCTGTTTCCCCCAGCTCAACCAGGGTGTCATGAGGAGGATGGAGATAGCTAGAGATGGACACAAAGGAAAGACGGAGGAAAAGGAGGGGTCTCAAAGAGTGGGAGGAACACCCCAGCCTAGGACACAGGAGCCCTGATCTCCTGGGACCCTTCAGCCTTCATGGCACTTTTCAGCCTGATGTCATATTGGGTGCCTCCACCCACCAGGATGTCAGGGCCATGAGAGTGGAGATGTGACTTGTCCCTGCACATTTGGACAATGAGTGAGCTGAGCTAGGCCGTCTCTTGCCTCCATCAGGCTGCCCTGAGCCCTGGGAATTCCTACACCTTCACTGGGGATCACCTCTGTGCTGCCCTCAGCCAGACCCTGGGGAGGCAGGGAGGGCCACTGTCTGTCCAGAGGCAGCAAGAGAGGCTGGGCAGACTTGGCAGTGCCAGGCTGTGCGCCCCCCCCCCCCAAGGCAGATGTGTTCCCGCTGAAGGGGGATCTTTTATGTGCGCCCTAGGAAGATGTCAGTCTGGGCAAGCCGCCAGGCCCCCTGGGGTTGGTTGCTGAGTGGGGAAGTGAACTTGGTGCAGACCAGCCTGAGAACCCACCACGCCTGGCAGCCGGAGAGGCAGACCTGCAACTGCTTCCTAGGGACCTGGGATAGAGCCGCAAGTCAAAGGACTCTGGGGCCTACAGGTTCCAGCCTCTCTCTGAGCCTGTAGTTTTGTCCCCAAGTCCCGGTGACTCCTCCATGGAGTACAGGTTCCACCCTGGGTCGGGCTGCTACCAGCCTCCGGCATCTCTCCCACTCTCTCTACTTGCCAGGTCAGAGGATTCTCTGCACCGAATGCACTCACTCACTCATTCATTCATTCTTAAATATTTATTAAGCATCTGATCAGGGGCTGACAGTTGAGAGGGGAACGCAGATAACTAATATTACAAACATGTTTAGTAAACATAGTGTTCTTTTTTAATAAACATTTTATTTTTAAAATATATTTTGTTGCTTTTTTACAGAGAGGAAGGGAGTGGAATAGAGTCAGAAACCTCGATGAGAGAGAAACATCGATCAGCTGCCTCCTGCACACCCCCCATTGGGGACATGCCCGCAACCAAGGCACATGCCTTTGACCAGAATTGAACCTGGGACCTTTTAGTCGGCAGGCTGACGCTCTATCCACCAAGCAAAACCGGTCTGGGCTTAAACATTTTACATATATATTTAATATATATGTATTTTTAAATAAAACATATACACATACATACATAACTATACTAATAAAAGGGTAATATGCTAATTAGGGCAGATGTCTCCCAGACATCCATCTGGACAAAGCCACAGTGGCTGGCAATGACAGCAGTAGCGGGGTGATGGGGGCGGCACCTTCCCCTGATCAACCTGGTTGCCTCCTGCAGAGGGAGCCAGACTGCAGCTTAGGCCTGCTCCCAGGAAGAGTGGACCTAAGCCATCAGTAGGACATCCCCTGAGGGATGATTGTGCAGGCAAGCCTCGGATGGCAGCTGGAGACCTGAGGTGCAGGCAAGCCTCTGACAGTGGCTGCCCAACCTCCTAGGACCACCAGAGGCTCAGGTAACCATCAGTAGGACATCCCCTGAGGGCTCCTGGACTGTGAGCTGGACAGGCTGAGCTGAGGGACTCCCCTCCAGTGCATGAATTTTCGTGCATCCAGCCTCTAGTGTGTGTGTGTGTGTATATATATATGTTTTATTGATTTCAGAGGAAGGGAGAGGGAGATAAATGAAAACATCAATGACAGAATCATTGGTTGGTGTCTCCTGCATGCCCCTTACTGGGGATCGAGCCTGAAACCTGGGCATGTGCCCTTGACCGGAATTGAACCCAAGGACTTTCAGTGTGCAGGCCGACACGCTTTCCACTGAGCCAGCTGATTAGGGCAACATATTGTCCTTTAGAAGGTGGTAAGTGCTACACAGCTATTAAGAGCCATGAAAGGGGTAAGGAAGGTGTGTGGTGTGATGTACAGAGGCCCCAGGTGGTGCTGTCTGAATGAAGACCAGGAGGGAGGGAGAGACAAGTTCATCTACAGGAAGAGTGGCAGACGGTCTGTGTAAAGGCCTGAGGCAGGTGTGGGAAGGGATATTGAGGACCGAGGGCAGTGGTTCTCAACCTTCCTAATGCCATGACCCTTTATTACAGTTCCTCATGTTGTGGTGACCCCCAAACATAACATTATTTTTGTTGCTACTTCATAACTGTAATTTTTGCTATTGTTCTGAGTCGTAATGTAAATATCTGTGTTTTCCGATGGTCTTAGGCGATCCTGCTAGTGGTTGCGACCCACAGGTTGAGTTTACAATGGTCTAAGTTTATAATGGTCCGTTGCCTAAATCTGCTACTGACTTCCCAGTAGCTTTGAAAGGAGCCCGTCTCCCCCACCATCCAGAGCTCTGGGCCACAGGCCTCCGCACACTGAGACTCCAACAGGCCCCAGGCCATTACTCTATTGTCCCCCTCCCTCGAGGCCACCCCACAGCACTGGTCATGACCTCTCAGCCACCACTTCACACCCCCTCAGCAGCTGGGGCAGGCCCAGATCCAAAGGCCTAAAGTCCGTAGTTTAGGGACCAGTGAGGAGCCCTGGAGTTTAAGTTTCAAGAGCTACCTGGAAATCCATGGCCACACTCAAGAAATACTGAATGGCTGGCCAGCCATGCATGGCAGGACTGGGACCCCACATCCACCTCTAGGAAGGGGGGTGGCATGTCTAAACACCACTGTGCAGGACAGAGCCTCGGTGTCCACCCCAAGAGGCAAGTGCACCCCTCCCGGGGCCTCAGTCTGCACCACGGGGTGGGGTCTCCAGTCAGTTGTGCTTCGGACTCACTGGGCTTCCTTTCCCTGCTGAGCTCACTGCCCCCAGAACCTCTGCTGGGGGCCAGGAGTGGTGGGAGGCCCAGTCTGACAGCCCTTTGTTTCAGGTAGAGGCACTCTTAGGGTCATGGCACCAGATGGGGGTTGACGCAGAGGCTCAGGGAGGGCCCACAGAGGCCTCCACCAGCCCCTGTGCTCACCGTGTCCCAGAGAAGCAGGTAGAACATTTCAAAGCAGTCTGGGGGATGGGCTCTTGTTCCTCTGACAGCTCCTCTGCCCTGAGCAGGCAGACCCAGAGACCTTGGTTCCAGAACCCTCCAAGCATTTGCCAAAGATGTTATAAATCCAGACGTGGCTGCTTGGATTTCTCCATCTCACCCCCGGGGAAACTGAGGTAAGTTCAGTGAGTTGTCACCAAGAACACCCTGGTGGCACAGGGCTGCTTGCTGGGTGTGAGGAAAGGGACCCCAGGTGGTGCTGTCTGGCAGTTATGCTGCCCCTTTTCCCAACACCAGAAAATGCTGCTGGTCCAGTTGCTAATTGTGTTTATTTTCTATGTGCATAGAAGTGGACGGCAACCTACACACCATGAGCACATCTCTCCCTGGAGGAAGGATGCTTTATGCAACCTGCCGAGGAGGCAGAGTCCTGCTCACCTCTCCATGCTATACCCTCCATCTGCTGCTCTGTGCTCCACAAAAATCACATCTGACCCCACGGCACTGGTCATCTTTTATTTCAAAAACAATTTTTAAAGTCATTTAAAGACTGATTTTAGAAAAGGAATGGCGGGAGGTGGAGGGAGCCATTGATGTGAGAAACATTGATTGGTTGCCTCTCATACTCCCAACTAGGAATCAAACCTGCAACCCAGGCATGTACCCCAAATCCACCCCCTTCTGGTGCACAGGTCAATGCTCCAACGAGCCACCCAACTAGAGCAGCACTGCCCATCTTGAAGCACCCAGTGCAGCTGCCTCATCTGACCCAAAGCAAGCAAACACCCACTCAAGCCCTGAATTGGATAGGCTGACCAGGAGGCCTAGCCAAGCCATCCTTAGTGAGGGGTCAGTTTCACGGTCACCTCATCACAGGTTAGGCCTTCCCACTGGTCCTCAGGCCTCTCCAAAGACTGCTCTGCCCCATGTATATTATTGATGCTAACCAATGTTGCTGAGCATGAATAGGCATGTGTAACAATGGGCCACAGAAGTTAAAGTGATGGGTTCCCAGGGACCCCTGGGCTCAGGGAGGTTGGCATTCAGGTGTGTCCAGCGGGAAGGCACACAGGACCAGGCAGTAAAAACAAGGGGCTCTTACCAGACTGGTGTTGCTCAGTGGTTGGGCATCAACCCATAAATCAAGAGGTTGCTGGTTGGATGCCAGATCAGGCACATACCTAGTTTGTGGGCTGGATGCCCAGCAGGGGGGCATGCAGGAGGCAGCCAATAGATGTTGTTTCTCTCTTAACAGTGTTTTGATCTCTCCCTTCAATAAAATAAAAAACAAGGGGCTTTGTGAATTTACTTCCCTGGCCCATCCCACTCAACAGTGTGCAAGTGGCACCCTCTGGTGGTGGCCAGAGGGTAGGGCCTGGCAGGGACAGTCCCCAATAATCGGGCTTCGGTTTTCTGTGAAATAAGGGGTGACTTTTCCCAGGCTGTGGGGTGCAGGACAAACAGGGTGAGGGATCCTTTAAAGAACCTTCTATTCTCTCCTCCCACCTCCAGAAACTTGGGGAAATCAGACTGGTAGCTGACAGCTGTGTGGCCTCAGTGAAGTGCCTGGTCAGTGGATGGGCACCTGGTGGCTGGTGGACATAGCCGGTTGTTCCAACTTTGTGGCAGTTATGCTGCCCTTTTCCCAACACCAGAAAAAGCCTGCTTCTCTGGAGATCCAGGAAGAGCTGGTCCAATGCTCCCCACAATCCTCACCCAGACCTGCTTATAGTCTGAGCCCGTGTCCAGGAGTTCCCTAGGTGTGGAAATGGGTTTAGCCTGGACAAGCTCTTTCCCCTCTTAGACTCAGTTTCCCCAACATACCAGGTGGGAGCCCATATGGTACCGGCTAGTCCAGGGTTCAGTGAGGCTGTCCCTCCTGTGACCCCCTGCTCCACCAGAATGCTCCTTGGCCCTTCAACCTGTCCATGCCTCCCCACCTGTTGGGGTGCCGTCTGGATGAGCAGGCCCCCCTTCTTGCTTTCTAGGCCTAAGCCCTCTTCAGCTGCAACAGTCCTAAAAGGCCAGGCTGCAGGTGCTCCCACTTGCACCTTCCACTACACAGCTCTGGAGTCCCGGCTGCACCAGCCACACAGGACGGGAGAGTAAAGGCTGCCTATCCGACTGGGGAGCCAGGGGGAAGGATCCCAGGAATTGCCCAGGGCCTCTAAAAACCTAGTGACCACTCATTCCATTCAGACCTGGTACGGGCCCCCCATGGTTCTGTGGCTGCCCACCCCTCCTTTTACCCCTTGTCCTAGGAACAAACCTCCCAATCCAAGTGCTCAGCTTCATTCCACCCTGAACTGTCTGGCCCTTACGTGCACTGCAACCTCTAGGTCTCAGTACAGCTTCGCGCTTGCCCCGTGAACTCTCCTGTAAGATTCAGGACAGGCACAGACAGGAGCCAGGAGAGGAAGAGGTGGGTCAGCCTTTATTGGTGAGCAGGCAGGTGGGGTTGGGGGCTCCCACGTAAGTCAGGATGCTATGAAGGAAGAAACCTCAGGCCCAGCTGGGGAGGGGCTTTCTTCAGTCACCGTGGGCACAGATGCGAATGGGACTGTTACAGCAACTCCCACCCATGAAGGTCATCCAGACCCCCCACCCCCCAGCGTGGGGATGGCAGGAGCAGGGAGGGGGATACTCTGAGGGGTGGCCATGAAGTCAGGCTGTACCAGGTCACATAGACCTGCAGTGATGTGACGGGACTTGCTGCAGGCAGGCAGGACACCAGGCATTGTGACCTGTGACCTCCTGAAGAGGGCAGTGAAGTAGCAGAAAGCAGCCGCAGGAGGTGAGCTGTGGAAGGAGGCGTCTCGGGAAAAGCCAGTCTGCCCTCCACAGCCCCCGGCATGACGGACTAGAGGCTAAATTAAATGTCCAGGGGACACCAAGAGTAGGGTTGGGGTGCAAGGAAGGAACAAGGAAGGGATAGGCAGGGGCTTCCCACAAAACCTCGCAGCTCCCCTGGAGTGCTCTTAAAATTAAAAAACAAAACCCCTAAGGAATGGAATTCTACATAGAGGAAACCCTAGCTTAGTTTCTTTTAAAAATAAGAGAAAACATGTGATTTGAGTCAACAGTGTGGTCTACTTTGCAGGGTAGGTTTCCTTTAAGGGGAGAGGACTTGGAATGGTGTGAACACCTGGACCACCAGGCTCCTCTGGACGGCAGCTCAGCCTGCGCAGACTCCTCCTCACTGTCTGCAGGAAGGAAGGAAGGGGCACTCAGATGCCAGCTCTGGCAGGGCGGGAGCCCTCGCTCGCACCCTGCCACGCTCCTCACCTCACTCATTTGCTCACTCAGTTGGCGTTCCTCTGGCGAACGTTCTTGTCTTTGTCATTCATGTTCCCGCTGCTCTTCCTAGGGACAGGAGGGGCTTTTCAGTGCTCAGGAGGACAAGACAGCTGCCCCCACCCCCAGTCACAGATGGAGGGGCATCCAGGTCAGCAGCTCCTCCAATCCTGCCCACACCACCTCCCCATCCCCCCACGCTCAGCCAGGCCAGGACTCACAGTGGAGCAGAGCCCATGTCCTCATCTGTGCAGACGCGCAGCCAAACCATGTGAAAGAGAAGAACAGGTGTCAGAGGTGGTTCCTGTTCTGCAGGGACTGGTCATGGGGGAGGCAGTCCATCCCTGGGACCTGTACCCTCAAAATCAGCTATGGGGTCAGCCCAAGGGCCTCTGGGAGCCCTGTCTGCTCTCCTTGTCCACCTGCAGGTGGGCATGCAGATGCCCTCACCTGGCCAGGGCGGCTCAGGTTTCCTGAGCTTCCTCAGGTAGTCACGGCCTTGCTTGCTTGGCCCTGGCCCTAGGACCCAAGCAGCTGATGTGAGGGAAGGCTAAGCAACTGAGGGCAGATGCTCCCTAGAGGACACCTGCTAGCAGCAAAGTGGGCTGTGGAGGCAGCAGGTCCCAGCCTCAGAAGGTGGGGCAGGAGGCCCTGGCTGGGTAGCTCAGTTGGTTAAAGCATATGCCAAGGTGGCAGGTTCAATCCCCAGTCAAGGCATATACAAGAATCAACCAATCAATGCATAAATAATGGAACAGCAAATTGATGTTTCTCTCTCTAAAATAAATGAAAACTAAGTAAGGTAGAGCAGCTCCTGAGAAGCCTGGGGACCTGACCCCAACCTGTAAGAGAGGGCTGTCCCTCAACCCAAGCGCTCTCCACTACACAGCATTTCAGGATGGTGTCCAGGTCCCATCGAGGGCGTGGGGCAAGCTCACCATCCAGGACCTGGTCTGGCTTCCGCCGCTTCTCATAGATGAAGATGATGGTGACAAGCACGAGCACCTCAGCCACGATACCCAGGAAGGGCCAGAGGGCAGCGAGGCGGTTGCGTACACGCAGGGTGATGACGGCCTGGTCAGTGCCCTCTGTATTGGTGCCATTGCAGGCATACACGCCAGGGTCTGCCTCCAGGACTAGATTATGGATGTGCAACTCCGTCTTGGTCTCTGAGGTCACCACCAACTTGTTCGTGGACACGTTGTTGAAAACCTGGGGACAGGCAGACCTTGTAGGGCAGAGGCCCAGGCCTTTGCCCCACCCGAGGCCGGTGCAGCCCTCACCTCGATCTCATCGCCCTTTATCTTGTACCACACCCATTGGGTAACTGGGGGGAAAGACTCAGACTTGCAGGCCAGCACAACTGTCTCTCCTTCAGTGGCATGCTCGGACTTCTTCACAGCCTTAATCTTGGGGGGGCCTGGTGGGGAGCAGAGCACAGTGGAGCCTGAGTCCCGCAGCCTGGAGGAGCCGACCCTCCTTCAGTGTGCGGGCTCCTCTCATCCAGGAATGGATGAGTCTGCCCCTTCCAAGTGCTCTGGGGGCCACAAAGCCGCTCCCCTTCACGTTCACTCACCCTTCACATTCACGCTGGCGGTTCTGCCCGTAGGTTTCGAGAGGAAGGTGCAGGAGTACTGTCCTGGGCTTTCGAGTGTGTCGACCCTGCAGGCAGATGCAGCCGTGAGTCACCTCTACTGGTGACCCTGCGGGGCCAGAACAGGCCTCAGAGGTCATGATCAGGAGATCCTGCAGGAGGGCACATACTGACCATATCCCATCAAGAAGGGAGGTGATTTGGGGGATGGTAGATGGGCCTGACCCCACTCCTGACCTGGCACCCAAACCAATGGGCTTCTGTACTGTGACTCTAGAAGCCCATAAACAGAGCTCAGTGTTTCCAGAGCTGGCTTGGGCTCAGTTAAGACAAGGCTTCAACTTGGGCAGCCTTGAGTGCCCAAGACCTTAATAAACGGGGAACACAGGGGTTCCAGGCTGAGGGGAACTCATATAGTGCCCCCCCCCTTCAGCGCCTGGAAGAAAAGGAAAGGGCCATGGAGGCCGTGATGTCTGGCAGCTACTGGTCTTTCCCTGGCTCCCGAGTTTTTCGCAGCCGAGGGACATGAACAGAGCTTGAATCTAACGTCTGTCTAAGGTGAGCCCACGGATCACAGCCTTCATTCCCGCTGACCACACGGCTGTTATCAGCGAGACCACAGCAGAGCAAACAGGGCAAAGGGGCCCCAGAGTGAAGCCAGCTCCCCGAAAGGAGGCCCATCCCCTTCTGCCAGGACCCGCGGGACCTGGGGCCTGGCTGCTTCCATGGGCCTCACGCACTCGAACTGCGTTGTCAGATCGGCCTCCGAGTCCTCCTGCAGCACCTTGTCCCCTTTCACCCAGCGGTGGCCCAGGATGGCAGTGTCACTGGAGTCCAAGGTGCAGGTGAGGCGTGTTTTGGAGCCAACATCAAGTATGGAAGTCGAGATATTGCCTGTGTGGCCAAAGGAGAGGAGATCAGCCAAGGGATCAGAGCCTTCCTACTTGCCCCGCAGCTAGTTCACAGTGGCTCCTCCACTCACAGCCTTGTTACAGGCCTGAATCACACGGGCACGTTCAGGAAGGCTGCCTCCTACAGAATTAATGGGCTTTGGTGTGACGGGCTGCTGGGCAGGATGCAGGGCTAATGCAGGTTTTGTCACAGAGACATGGATCTCAGGCGTGGGAACAGAGACCAATACCCACCCCGGGTCCCAACTCGTGGGTCCAGACCAGCATAGATCCAATTTCCTTGAAGCTCAAGAGTTCCCACAGTCCACTCACAACAGCCACAAAACCCTGTACAGGAGATAATATGATGTCCTGCCCAGGACACTGAGGGTGGATTCAAATCGATTTCCAACTAGGCAAATGTTCCCGTTAGTTTCAGATGGTCTCTTGAAGAATTGAAATGTGAAAATCACTAGGAATCACAAAGTGAGAAGCAAAGAGACAGGAGGTGAGCCGGGAGAACTCCTCCTCAGAGACCAGCCCTCCCAGTGTTCAGATAAAAAGCCAGCCAGGTGTTCCATGGACCGGAAGTTGAGGGTGAGGGAAATGGAGACCTCTGAGGGCAGGCTTGCCACTGCGCAGCCATGCCACCATTGGTGAGGCGGCGAGCTCACCCATGTCCACACCAGAGCTTTGTCCCTACGTTAGGACACCCCTGCCCACCATCTCAGGGTCCAGGCACCACAGGGCTGTCCACACTGGCCTCCATTTGTCTTCTTTGGAATCACTTCAAAGCAGAGCTTTACTCAGAAGTGTCTGTTTTTCCAGAATGGTCACCCACAGGCTGGAACCCTGAAGGTGTCCTTGATTGCCCTCTGCTTGTACCCTGACTGGGACCAGTGATTGAGCCTACAACTGAGTATGTGCCCTTGATCAGAATCGAACCCAAGAACCTTCCGTCTATGGCCAATGATCCAAACTGGCTAGGGCTGTTTTTTTTTTTTTAATGACTTATTTTTAGAGAGAAAGGGTGAGGGAAAGGAGAAACATCTATGTGAGAGCAGAACATCAGCTGTCTCCTGCACGCCCCCTACTGGGGATTAAGCCTTCACTTGCACAGTGACCTGGTCATCAAACCAGCAACCTTCTGGTGCTCAGGGCGAGGCGCCTCTTCTAAAGCTCCAGTGGCCAATCGGCTAGCGCGCGGTACTTATAAAAGCCATGCCCACAGGACTGAGCATAAACAAACCCAGCCACACTGTCTGCAATGAGCTTCTTTTCCTTGTAGTTTGTGGGGAGAAGCCTGTGGTATAAAACGAGGGGGGAAAAAAAAAGCAGAATACGAGACTGTATTTGAACAACTTCTGCTCAGAGTCAACCATTCCAGAAAAGCAGCTACACGAAACCCAGCAGTCTAGCGGCCACTCAGCAGGTCTGCTCCCCCTGGACACCTGCTTCCTCACTGGGGACCCAGAGTGACTTTTAGAGCAGAACTGTGAAATCACAGAACAAAACACATGAAACCGGGCAGAATTGCTAAGATAATGATCCCTATCTGAATAGCTATCTTAGCTGTCTGGAACTCAGCAACAGTATAAATTGATTCCTTGGGCAGCAAACCTCTGGCTCAGGCCTAATACTGCCAATCCAGAGGGAAATGACAGGAAAGGAATTCTGCATCCATGGACAGCAGCTTCTTGCTCAGCTTCACCCATCCACAGACAGACCGGGTTAGTCTTTAAAAAAATTAAACCTCAAGCTATGGTCAGTGTGTACAGTGGTTAGAGCATCAGCCTGGGCACCAAAGGGTCACAGGTTCCATTACCAACCCCAATCGGGGCATGTGTGAGAGGCAACCAATTGATGTGTCTTTCTTACATTGATGTTTCTCTCTTCCATTATCTCTAAAATCAATGGGAAAAATGTTAATCCCGGATGATTAACATAAGAAAAATAAACCTCAAAACCCACAGGGCAGTAGGAAAACTTTATTCAAGAGACATTACAGCTGTAATATCTGACATGACCCATGGGCAGCTGAGATGAGCATGCCCTGAGGGTGCGGTACTGGGTACCTGCACTGGGTCCCAGGGCAATAGCTAGGGGCCTAGCACTTATGTCCTCAGTGGGCTATTGGCACCCCCATTCTGTCCACTGCGACACATGCAGACCCAGCTGCCCAGCTGTGTTTCCAGTCTGGGAGGATGGTGGCCTGCCTGTGAACAGGACACATGCACAGCCAGGCAAGGCCTCTTCCTGAACAGGCCAGTCCTCCTGACCCACCACTGGCCACCTGCTGGCTCTTTCTTTAAAAGAGGACACGATGATTCAGAATTCCAGGCAAGCAGGGATGAAGCAAAAAATTCAACAGCCAACCCCAAAGCCCCAGGGACAAGTGGGCCTTCAGGTCTCCCCACCTGCGTTGGCCTAAAAGCAACTCACAGGACTCAGGACAGGCACAGTTACAACCAGACAGGGGTGAAGCTAGAAGCCCCACTGCCACACTTCTTAGGAATCAACATTTCCAAGATTATAAAACAAGCAGCTATATGGAAAGCTGGGAGCAGTCAGGAGAGGAATTGAGGCCAAGGCAGCCCTACTCTGACAGGCCTGCCTCTCTCTACAGTTGAGCTGGGACCCCCATCTGCGCTCTCATTCCCTCACCCGGGAGCTGCTAGAAAGGAGGTCAGTCAGATCTTGTCCCAGCGGCACCTGCCTCCCTGAAGGAGAATGAGGTGGCTCAAAAGCGAGCCTAAAGCCCCTTAGGCAGACACCCCTGCTCCAGCCTGAGGGCCGTGTACAGCAGGGGACCAAGGCCCACCTGGGCCGTCTGCCAGCCTTCCCACCATGCTACCACATCGCTCCTGTCCATCCTCAATGGGGCCACAACACTCCCAGGAGGACTCGGGGGGCGGTGGGGGGGCGGAGGGGGGGTATCTTAGGCATTACAAGGATTGTTGCACTACCCAGGGTCACCACACACACAGACCTACTGCTATAAGTGATGCCAAAACCTGTGATATTAAAATATCACTGGACGGGGCCATTAGAAAAAATAGTCTTAAAAGGCTCCTGCGCAGGGTGGGGAAGGGGGTGGGGTGGAGGGGATTGAGCAATGCTGGAGAAAGGTTGAAAAACAAATCCTCTGGCAACCCCTGACCAAACCCAGTGCCCAGGTGACCTGGGGGAAGCACCCCTAGAATTCACAGGGAGAAGAGGCAGGAGCCTGCACCCTTAGAACACTAGGAGACCAGGGAGAGGAGAGTGAAAACTCCATTCTGAGATTCTGGCCCCGTGACCGTAACCCACGTTCTCAAGTAAAGTCACCTTCATCTAAAAACAGCCACCCCTCCGTGCCCACTCGGCAGCCAGGCCGGGGCGTGGAGCCAGGCAGGCCTCGTGGTAAACAGCCAAGGAACTTGCAGGATGAGACAAGGCATCCGCCCTCTCCCCACCCATGGCAGCAGGCAGGGCTCAGCTAGGAGCCAAGAATGTTTCAGGGATACCGGCCGCGGCTCCTCACCTCTCCCTTCCTTCCGTCAGGAAGCAGCTCCTGCTCCCTTCACCTGAGGCTCAGAGAGGCCAAGTCCTCAGCCCAAGGGCCCTCCCACCCTGTCTGGCAACACTCCAGGGCTCTAGGTAATCTCAGAGAGGCAGGATAATCAACCCAGGGCCTCGGGGGACAGGGAGGTGCTGGTGCTGATGCTCAGGTCAAGGAACCTGTTCCTGGCAGAGCCCCCAAAGCATTTCTGGGGCGCTGACCTGGCCAAGAGAGTCAGTCAGTCACTTCTAGGCAGGAAAAGGACATGTGGTGACGTCCTCTGAAAGGCTTTCAGATCTTTCCAAGACACCCTGGGAAAAGGGGAGCTGTCAAAAGTGAAAGAGGACAAAACAGGGAGGAGTCCCAGGGGGGTCAGACCCAGGCAAATGTGCAAGAACAGCTCCAAAGATGCACAAATGGCACAGACCCGCTTGGCTTCCTGGCTGGAGCTCAGAAGCTCTAAGGAGAGAGGCACAAGCGTAGGAACTGTGCTCCCAGCAGATGAGACCACAGGGGCTTCCAGCCGCTGGCTGTCCGCAGCCATCGAGGGATACCTCCAAAGGGCTCACGCTGCCAAATGCAGCTGTGTGTCCTCCTAATTCACTTGTCTGCAGGTTCCCGAGTCCTTCCAGAGAGTGCTGGCAGGAAGACAGGCCCTCACCCAGAAGCATTCAATAAATAAATGGCTGTTTGGATTATAATGAAGACAAAAGAGGCGACTGACACCATAAAATAGATCACGAACAACCCAGTGAAGCTTCTACTAGAGGCAGTCTCTCTGGGCTCCTGCCCAGGACAGCTGACCAGCCTCTCGGAGCCCAACAGGTCCTGCCTCCCCACAAGAGCCCCAGACCATTCCTGGTCTGCACTTTGTTCCCTACATTCTGGCCGCTATAAATCTTTAACTCAGAACCAAATGGGAAGTCTTTATCCGGGTGAAAAAAACATTTCTATCAGGCCTTCCCCTGGAAAACTGTACCTCCGTCCATTTCTCATGAGCATTCAAACCACACACCTGTCACCCCCAGGAAGAGCTGTAACCTTTAACGACGGATGATATTCGACAAAAACTCTCTCCACTTCCAGCTCTTTTTTCTAGAGGCCGGGACGACCTTACGGTGACCTTGGAAAATCCCCCCTCCCTCCCCGCCTACTCCACCCCTGTAAAGGGTGGGAGGAGGACTTAGACGCTTTATCAGTGCCGAAAAATCAGAAAAACAGGCAGCAGAACCTGTTGGCTTTCTACCAGGGTTTGAACTTACAAGTGTTTGTGCGAATACCAGGAGCCGGGGCATATCCGGAGCAAGACTCCGAACTAAATCCCGTCAAGAATGACAATCCCTGCCAAACCCCGGAGCCGCCTGACTCCGGGGCGCTCACAGGCATTCGCTTCCAGCGACCACTTAGGAACAACAGCCTGCTTTCCAGAGGAGAGCCAAGGCTCCGGGGAGGCCGGGGAGCCAGCCCCCCGCCGCAGCCCTCGCCCCAGCACACCCGGGCGGGGGCCCACCCTCAGGCTCCCTCCCCAGGCTCCCGAGCTCCCGTTCAGAGGAGATTGTAAGACCCAGCCGCATGGTCCGTTTCCTGCAGGGAGCGTGAGGGAGGGGCCGCCTCCAGAATCCCTCCCGGACCCCGTCCCTCCCCCAGGCTGTCGGGAATCTAGGACTTCCCCTCCAGGGATCTCCCTGGTCTGATCTCAGTCCCCTTAGTCAAGGTTTCCCCACACACCACCCCGGCGGGGAGTCCCCCGGGTGCCTCCCAACACCTGGTGCCTGCCCAGCCCGGTTCTCCCGCCCTCGGAGCTCTCCGGTATCGCCTTCCGCCCCGGCCGCAGGACCCCAGAGGCCGAGCCCATCCCAGTCCTCACCGGCCCCGGAGCCGCTCTCGACGCCCAGCAGGACGAGCCCCAGAACCACCAGTTGTGCCGCCGCCATGTCGCCGCCGTCCCCGTCGCCAACCGCCGCCCGCGGCGCTTTAAGAACCCGGAAGGCGGGCCGGGCCGGGGTGCACAGGGAGGAGCCGTCTGCGCACGCGTGCAGACGCACGTACTCACGCACGCCCGGGCGGGCCCGCAAATCCGCTCTACGTAAGGGTGGAGACCGTGTCACGTGACCGCCCCGGGGCCACGCCCTGCGAGCTGGGGTGTGGCTGCCTCGCTAGGTAACGGGGGCGGGGCCTTCGTTTGTCCAGAAAGTGTTGATGACTAAACTGTGACTGTAGTTGCAATGCTCAGTCTATAGCCTGTGTATTTCACCGCACTCCAAACCAAAAACACACAAGGCATTAAGGGAGGTCCTCTGGATCCCTGTGAGCAAGTGGGATAAGTCCTCTGGCTGGGACTGCCAGATTTAGTGAAAACACCTTGAAGGCAGTTAGAAGTTGAATTTTAGGTAAAAAAAAAAAAAAAAAAAAAAAGAGTCATTTATATTAATGGGACTGTGCCATGCAATATTTGGACATAGTGATGCAAGGAAAGTATTCTTTATTTATCTAACATTCACTATTTAGTTGAAATTCAAATGTAACTGTCAGTCTTGTATTTTGTCTGGAAAATACAGGAGTTCCCAGTGTTTTTCAACAAACACTTTAAAAAGTTACAAAATAGCCGGGCTGGTGTGGCTCCGTGGTTGAGCATCAACCTATGAACTGGTCATGGTTCAATTCTGTGGACGAAAGGAGCCACATGCTAACTTGACAAGCTCAGGGGAGACCTGTGTGGCAGACTTGCAAACTCAGAGACCTAAAATAACAAAAGATGGTTTGAAAATTAAATATTGAACTACAGACAGATTATAGTGGGTAGTCATGTTCTAGGGCCTAGGACTTAGGCCGATATTTTCCCAGACAAAGATCAACTCCCTCCCTCCCCCCACCTCTCCCTCTCCCTCTCTCTCACTCTCCCTCCCTTCCTTCTCTTTCCTCCCTTCTCTCTCTCTCTCTCTCTCTCTCTCTCTCTCTCTCTCTCTCTCTCCCTCACTCTCACTCTCCCTCCCTTCCTTCTCTTTCCTTCTCTCTCTCTCTCTCTCTCTCTCTCTCTCTCTCTCTCTCTCTCTCTCTCTCTCTCTCTCTCTCTTCTCTCTGTTGTCCTCAGGTGAAGATTAAAAGAACAAATAAGCCGAAATCGGTGTAGCTCAGTGGATAGAGCGTTGGCCTGCGGACTGAAGGGTCTCAGGTTTGATTCTGGTCAAGGGCATGTACCTTGGTTGTGGGCACATCCCCCAGTAGGTGGTATGCAGGAGGCAGCTGATCGATGTTTCTCTCTCATCAATGTTGCTTTTTTCTTTTTTTCTTTTTTCAATATATTTTTATTGATTTTTTTACAGAGAAGAAGGGAGAGAGATAGAGAGCTAGAAATGTCGATGAGAGAGAAACATTGACCAGCTGCCTCTTGCACACCCCCTACCGGGAATGTGCCCGCAACCAAGGTACATGCCCTTGACCGGAATCGAACCCAGGACCTTTCAGTCCACAGGCCGACGCTCTATCCACTGAGCCAAACCGATCTCGGCTCATCGATGTTTCTAACTCTCTATCCCTCTCTCTTCCTCTCTGTAAAATAATCAATAATATATATATATATATATATATATATATATATGTATTTTTTTTTTAAAGAACAAATAAATAAAAATTTAAAAAGCAGATAATAAGTGTTGGAGAAGGTGAAGAAACTAGAGCCTTCATTCATTGCTGTGGGAATGCAGAATGGTGCAACCGATGAAAAATACCCCAATAGTTAAACACACAATTATTGCCCTGGTCAGGGCCAGGTGGCTCATTTATTGGAGCATGGTCCCGTATACCAAAAAGGTTCCAGGTTCGATTCCCAGTTAGGACACATACCTAAGTTGTGGGTTTGATCCATGGTTGGGGAGTATACCAGAGGCAACCTATGAATGATATCTCTTCTTCCTCTCTCTAAAGTCAATAAAACATACCCTAGGTGAGTATTAAAACACAAACAGCCAAGCCAGCATAGCTCAGTGGTGCAGCTTCAACCTATGAACCAGTAGTCCACGGTTTGATTCCTGGTTCTGGTTAGGGCTATTGCCCACGTTGCAGGCTTAATCCCCAGTGTGGGGCGTGCAATGATTTTCTCTCATCATTGATGTTTCTATTTCTCTCCCCTCCCCCTTCCTCTCTGAAATCTAGACACTGAGTGGCCAGATTATTATGATCTCTGAATGTATAATAATCTGGCCACTCAGTGTATATCCTATATAATAAAAGGCTAATATGCAAATTGTCCTCTTGACCAGGAGTGTGACCAGTAGGCAGGCTGGCCAACTGCCCATGTCCCCTCCTCTGGCCAGGCTGGCTGGACCCCATCCATGCATGGGGCCTCTAAAAAAAAATTATATATATATATATATATATATATATATATAGTGGCCAGATTATTATGCATTCAGAGTTTATATATATGTATGTATAGTATTCAGAGTATATATATGTATGTGTATATAGTATATATATAAATATATATGTATAGTATATATATAAAAGGCTAATATGCAAAGTGTCCCCTCAGGAGTTCAACAGGAGAATGAGTTTGATTGCTCCATATGATTGACCACCAGGGGGCAGTGTGGAACATGGGGGTGATGGGGACAGAGGTGCCGTGAGAATGCAGGGTATTTGCCCAGCTTGCTCTCTCACTCCCCTGCTACTCTCCCCCGGGGTTCCAGGGCTGGCACGCAGGGGAAGCCCCCACACTCAGGTGCCAGTGAGGAGCCTGTCTCACACCCGCGCTGTACCTTCAGAGGATGCTGGGCCGCAGCTGCAGGGACCGCAGGGGCCAGTTGGGCTCCCTATGGATTTGTATAGGAGCCAGTCTGTGAGGCCAGCCAGGCTTTTGCGTGGCACTGCTAGGTGGCCCAGGGGCCCACACTGCTCCCCAGCCTGCGGCATCAGCCACAATTTAAAAATCATTTCAGACTTTGCAAGTCTCCATGTGGGGACCCGAGTGCTCAGGTGCTGCCCAGGGCCCAGAGGTCAGCTGGGACCTGCCCTTTCACATCAGACACTCTTGCTTTGATCACTGGCCAGGCCTAGGGACCACACTGTGCATGAATTTCATGCACTGGGCCTCTAGTCAACAATCTATACTAATAAAAGCCTAAGTGACACTCACATGTGACATCATCACAAGATGGCCCCCACAAGATGGCCACACTCACAGAGGAGGTGGTCCTGGCAGAGGAGGCGGGTTGCAGCAGGGGAGGGCAGTTGTGGGTGATCAAGGTGGCAGGAAAGCAGTTAGGCATCAATCAGGCTGGCAGGGGAGCAGTTAGGGGGTGATCAGGCAGGCAGGTAAGAAGCCAGCAGTCCCAGATTGTGAGAGGGTGCAGGTTGGGCTGTGGGACACCCCCACCCCCATGCATGAATTTCATGCACTGGGTCACAAATAATAATAAAAATAAAATGGAAAAACTATTCTCAGGTCTCAGGTGAACAACAACAAAAAAAGGGTGGCCCTGGCAGCCCATCCATGTTTCTTTCTTACATCAGTGTTTTTTTTTTTTTTCCCCCTCTCTCTCTGAAATCAATAAAAACATATCTTTAGGTGAGGATTAAAAAAATAATAAGGTGATGTAAGGGGGCTGCTTTGCATAAGGGGTTAGGCGGTTTCTTGCTGTCAATGACATGTGAGGTGACGTAAGAATGAGGAGGAGGTGGGAACCAGGGGCAGGAGTGAGTGGTAGTCTGACAGCAGTCTGTCAGGTGGGGGAAGCAGCATTCAGAGAGGAGGCTGGGCAGGGCATGCGGAGTCCCAGCTACAGCGGACATTCAAGGAAAAGGCTGGAAGGATGTAGCAGACAGGCCACAACCTGCTGACGATGGGACTATAGGGTGAGGATCCCACTTCTGGGAGATCCACTCTCAGGCCCTGGGAGCCTGAGCGCCAACCAGAAGCCCCAGGCTTAACAAGGCCAGGAGGCCGCACAGATGGGGGTCGAGGGCTACGTGCAGAATGAGGGAGGAAGACAGCCAGCTGGCTTCAAACCCCTACAGCCGGGGAGGTGAAATTTCTCCTAGCCTGCCCTCCCTAGGCCGGGCTGAGGCAGCTCTCGTGGGAAATAGCCTTTGCTTTTGTTTTCAAAATAAAGCTCAGTCTCCCGAAGACCCAGTTTTCTGATCCTCTCCCTTGAAAGCCTTCCCTGCCCCCTCCTCCCCGGATCCCTGCTCTGCTCAGACCTGGCCCCACCCCAGGGCAGAAGAATCTGAGTCCCCCTCTGCTTCCCACGGCAGGCCTTCAGGACCACTTGGTCAGGGTAGCCAGACCTAAAAGTAAAAACATAGGACTCCCTGTTAAATTTGCATTTCAGATTTAAAAAAAAAAATCAGCAAATATATATACTAGAAATATATCCCACACAGTCACAGTATCTGGGACATACTTTCACTGAAAACATTATCTGCTCTATATCTGAAATTCAAATTTAACTGGCCAGCCTGTATTTCACCTGGCATCTCTGACCCAGTTGAAGGCAGCCTGGCTCCATCCCCCTTTGCAATTGCCCTCATGGCCCTGGTCACCCTCTGACTTTGTGTGCGGTCAGGGACAACCACCTCATCTGGGCCCCTGCTGTGCACTCATCTGCCTGCGCACAACAGCTGCCCTGCTTAGCTGTGGGTGGTCCTCACTCACTGGCTCCCCTCCCCTCCCGCCTCTGAGGCCTGCAGCCTCTGGGATAGATCTGGACATCTTTCTCCAACGAGGGCAAGGCAAGCGACTCTCTTCTTTTAAAAAAGATAATCCGCTTATTACCTGGCTAAGGGCTATGGGTGTATCCCACCCCTGCTTCAGGGTCATGGGTGTATCCCATAGTCTCAATAAAAGGGATAGCAAGGCTAGAGCCTAGCGGCAGTCCTTCCACTAGAGGTGGGCTCCCGCCTGGCCCCCCATATCGCCAAATTAAATTTCTTCTAGTTTCTCTTTAATTTGCGTGCCGCCCTTCTCTGGAACCCTGAACCGGAACCCTGAATCGGAACCCTGAACCATGTGGGATGCAAGAAAGGGGTTCCCATACTGGGGTGCTTTGTTCTGGCCCCCCAGGGACAGCACTCAGGGGTACTGTCACCCTCCCTCTATATCTGTCCAGTTGAAGCATCAGAAGCCGGAGCTTAGCGCACGGGGCCGTGGACACCTTCAGAGACCAGCTGGGAAGTGCTCTGAGTCCCCAGGCAGGAGGGGCACCGGTGCAGGACCTTGCTCAGCACCTTCCCTCCGCACCAGCCCGCCAGCCCTAGGGAGCTGCAGCACCTCATTCCATCTGGTGGCTTCCTCTGTCCCTTTAAGCAACCCCAGACCTCCTGCACACCTGGGGGTGGAGGACCCAGCTGGGCCAGGAAGGAACAGCTGAGAAGGCAAGATAAGCTTCCTCCCTGAGGGCTCCCGCCCTGCAAACACAGGCCTGGCCTCCCCTGATCTTGGTCCAGGGGAGCCTCTCACATCTGCGGTGCCTCTAGATCCAGGCTCACTTGAGGAGGATGAAGAAAAATAAAACCCAAAGCTTCTTGCAAAGACAGGGACCACGTGCTGGTTGAGGGGGGAGGGCAGGAGATGACAGTGGGGGAAACCATGCACACAGCAGCCAAAAGGGAGAGAAACAGTCCGAGTGTCCCTCAGGGGGTGGATGGATACACACACTATATCCATCTGCACGGTGAATATTATTCAGCCAAGAAAAGGAACGAGGCACTGGCACACGATACAGCATGGATGAACCTTGAACACGTGCTGCTCAGTGAGAGAAGCCACAAGGCACAGCGAGTGTGATTCAATCAGTGTGAAGTGTCCAGAACAGGCACATCCAGAGACAGGAAGTGGATCAGCAGTTGTCAGGTTCTAGAGAGTGACTGCAGATGGGGATGGGACATCTTTTTTGGATGATGGAAGGTTCTGGAATTAGATAGAGGGGGTGGTTGCACAACATTGTGAATGAACTAAATACCACTGAATTGTATACTTTAAATAACTACTATTGTCAGGGCCCTGGGCCGGCTGCCCCAAGATGTCCCACATTCATGGCACATAATTATTTTGCATCAAAGTTACTTAAGAAACTGCCTGGGCAAGAAGCAAACCGTGACCTCTCTGTCCCCCCTCACTCAGGATATAAGTCTCCCCTCTTTACCAGAGCCAGGAGTCCAGAACCAAAGAGCTTCTATAAACACACTGCTGACTCCTCACCTCGCTCACACCCTGCTCAGATTCCCTTCTGTGACTTCTCACAAATGCACTGCTTCTTTGTCTAAAAAGTAAAGAAAGAGCCTGGTTCGATCACTGTTTTAGCCTCATCTTATGGTCTGAGCATCATATTCTGATTCTCCCCTGCACATGTGTTGAATTGGTGTTTCTCCTGTTGATCTAGTCCTGGTGTAGATTTATTATTTTGTTACTAGTTCAGCCACAAGCACTACAGAAGGCAGAGCAGGAAATAGTGCCCCGGTTTGTTATGTAAATTTCATCACAATTTTAAAAGATTTTTTTCCCCTTTTTTCTGTTAACTTTCTCCCCAGAATATTTTTTTCATTGAATTTTTTTAAAGAGAGAATAGAAGGAAGGGAGGGAGGGAGGGATGGGAAGAGACAGAGAGAGGAAGGGAGAGAGAGAGAGAGAGAGAAACATCCATGTGAGAGAGTCACATCTGTTGTTTGCCTTCTGAATGCGCTCTGACCAGGCCGGGGATCAAACCTGTAACTCACATCTGTGCCCTTGACCGGGAATTGAACCCATGACCTTCTGGTGCACGGGCCAATGCTCTCAACACACCAGCAAGGGCTAAAAAGATATTTAATTTTTTTTATTGATTTAAGAAACATCGATTTGTTGCTCTGCTTATTTGTCTGTTTGTTTTATTGATTTCAGAGAGAAGGGGAAACATCAGTTGGCTGCCCACACTGGGAATCAAGCCCACAACCCAGGCATGTGCCCTGACCAGAAATGGAACTGGCATCCTTCTGGTGCATGGGACAATCAATCATCAACCAACCAACCGAGCCACACTGGTCAGAGCTTCTCTGCTTATTTTTTATTTTTTAAATTAAATTATTATATGTGTACATATCTTACCATTGCCCCATCTGCTTATTTAAAAAAAAAATATTTTTATTGATTTTTTTACAGAGAGGAAGAGAAAGGGATAGAGAGTTAGAAACATCAATGAGAGAGAAACATCAATCAGCTGCCTCTTGCATACCCCCTACTGGGGATGTGCCCCCAACCAGGTTATATGCCCTTGACCGGAATTGAACCTGGGACCCTTCAGTCTGCAGGCTGACGCTCTATCCACTGAGGTGATTGTTGATGGGGGACAGGGCTGCTGTTTAGGGTAATGGGATGTTCTGGAATTGAAGGTGATGGTTATATAATTTAATGAACATACTAAAAACCACTGAATTATGCACTTTAAATGGATGAATTGTAAGCCATGTGAATTATATCTCAACACTGTAAATATATTACTTAAAAAATGAAAGGAAGAATATTCTGGATTGCTTGTTCAATGACCTCCACCCGGCTCCCCAGCACCAGCACATCCCCTGCCAGCCGAACTCTGGCTGTGGCCCCCAGCTGCGCCCAGTGCCATCCTCTGCCATCCATTAGACTGCACCCACCCTGGAGCCCCTCCTGGGAGAAGCCTGCCCTCGCCAGCTGCTGGGCTCCTCACAGCAGCCTCAAGAGTGCAACCTCGCCCTGCCACATGGCTCAGTGGCTGAGCATTGACCTATGAACCAGGAGGTCATGGTTTGATTCTAGTCAGGGTACACGCCTGGGGTTGTGGGCTTGGTCCCCAGTAGGGGGCATGCAAGAGGCAGCTGATCAATGATTCTCTCTCATCATTGATGTTTCTCTCTCTTTCTCTCTCATCAATAATAATAATAAAAAGGGATCCAGGCAGGCCGGGACCGGTTTGGCTCAGTGGATAGAGCGTCGGCCTGCGGACTGAAACGTCCCAGGTTCTATTCTGGGCAAGGGCATGTACCTTGGTTGCGGGCACATCCCCAGTAGGGGGTGTGCAAGAGGCAGCTGATCGATGATTCTCTCGCATCGATGTTTCTAACTCTCTATCCCTCTCTTTTCCTCTCTCTGAAAAATCAATAAAATATATATTTTTTTAAAAAAGGAATCCAGGCAGGACTCTTACAATTTCTTTATTACAATTTATTGGTCCTATGAGCTGTGTCTGGTCCCCTCGCTGTCCCTCCCCATAATGCTGCAAGGGAGGGTCCTGCAAACAGAGGGGTCAGAAGCACCCATGGAGCATCAGGCGTGTGATGGGGCCGACCGGCGGCTGATGACCTTCCTGATCCAGGACACGTAGGGGCGCACGGCGGTGGCCACGGGGGGCTTGAAGATGTCGGTGCAGGCTTTGGAGCTGAAGGACAGGATTCCAGCCACCCGGCCTTTGCTGCACACCAGGGGCCCGCCTGAGTCCCCCTGCCGGACCCACAGGTACAGCTTACATTTGATGTCGCTTGGACAAAGCATGATTATTCCTGGGGGTGGGAGGCTGACTGTGTACCCTGGTCCCACATGTCTTACCCCTCCACCCCTCCCCTTTATCCTTCCTTCCTTCCTTCCTTCCTTCCTTCCTTCCTTCCTTCCTTCCTTCCTTCCTTCCTTCCTTCCTTCCTTTCTTCCTGTTCTTTTAACACTCTTTGCTTCTTCTCCCCACCCCAGGACCTTTGCACGTGCTATGGTTATCTTTGGTGCTAGAGCTCAAAGCACATCCCTGCTGCTTACTGACTACATGACTGTGGGCAAGTCATTAACCTTCTCTGTGTCTCACTTTCTGTGTCTGAGAATCTCCAGAATTCCCCAGAGAATGGACAGACCTGGAGCCCAGGTTCCCCCTGGCTGAGGCTTCTGCTCTCCCCTCAGGCCAGGCTGCCCTGCCTCCCTGCCGCTGCCCCTCACCTTGCAGGGGGCCTGGTTCTTGGACTTGGCTTCCAGGCAGATCATGCTGTGGGTGATGCTGCCTTTCCAGAAGCGGCTGTTGTTGCACATCCTGGCGTCCAGCACGTGCACGTCCAGCTCCTGCAGCGCTCCTGCCAGTTGCCCCCTCTCCTGGGTCAGCCCCCAGCCTGCTACGCTGCACCTTGCTCCTGCTGCCACTGCCTGGTGCCCTCGGGGCAAGGTCAGGGGCCGGACAGTCTTGCTGGGCCTCACCTTAGAGTCCAGCTACAGGTGACAGAAAGAGACAGGGGAGGGAGAGACTGGGGTAGCAGCAGGGGGAGAGAGGTGCAGTTGTCACTCCCCACCACCTCCGCCAGCCCCCGCCCCCCACCCCTGCACCTGAAGCAGCGCGATGTCGCTATGCAGACTGGGGGCCGGCTTGTACTTGGGGTGCAGGACCGCTGCCCGGACTCGGAAGGTGAGGCCAGGGTCTCTGAGCTTGTGGAGCCCCAGCACCAGCCTCAGCTGATGGGTCCTGTGGGCGGCAGAATCAGGGTACGGGCTGCCATCCTGCAGCCTGCGGACCGCTCCCTGAGCCTTCCTTCCAGGGTCCATCTAGGCTGAGTTCAAGGCCAAGGGGTACTCGATCCTGCCCCTCCTCTTGCTCCCTTACCTGGCCTCTCGCTGCCTGGTCCTTCCCCTGCTCCTTCTCAACTGCCTCCCCCCACCTTCTCCAGGAAGCTATCCCTGCTGCTGCCCCTGCCCCAGACTCCTGTTCATTCCCGACCAGAGGTAGGCGCTATGTGTCCAAAAATGATGACCGTCAGTCTGGGGCTCCCCTCAGCAAGGGCTCCAGCCTCATCCGGTGCAAATGCTTATCCCTCAAGCACAGTGCTTTGTCCTAAGGCTGCCACAAGGCCCAGGTAGACCCATCAGTATCGATCCTCATAACTTTGCCCAAACTATAGAGAAACAAAACTTTCCACAGGAATAAGGGGGCCCATCCTTGTCACCATGTGAGAACCTTCCTGATTATATGGTATGGGACAAAACAGAAGAGCTGAGCGGCAGGCTCCTGACTAGCTGATGCTAGCACCTGGATCAAGCTGTTCCTGAAGCCTGATGTCCTTTTAGACTTTTCATGAGCCAACAGATCCCCTTTGGTTCCTTCCACCAGTTTGATCTGGGGTCTTTATTACTGGCTAGTCCAGAGGAAGGGCAGCTCCAAGATTAATTGATTTGGTGGTTTCCTGGGTTATGCCACTCTCCACAGACCAGCTATATCCCCACGGCCACAGAGGGGGACACATCCTGGGTGTCGCAAGAGGCCCGACTCTGTCCAGTTGGAAGGTGCTTTGTGGTAGCAAGTAAAGCTTCCCTAGGACTCCTGCTGTCTAATGTCACGTACATAGGTCGATGCCACGTGCACACACCATAGCAATCAGAGAGAGGGAAAGGGGACGCCCCGATGACCCTAGTATTGGCTTAAATCTGTCAGGACCCATCCCCTGGTGAGAATAGGGAACCACGAGACAGTTTCAGGGGTGCCTGGGGTGGCAGAGGGCTGGGCAGGGCAGGGTCACTCACGGCAGAGCCACGCAGTGGGCAGCTGTCAACACCCACCACGGGTGCACGAGGACGCCCCCACACAGGTGGGCGCCGGCTCTCTGCAGGGACACCATGTATGGCCGGGAGTGGGGGGCAGCCTCACGTCCACCGATGATGTGGGTCTTAAACGTGACACTTCCTGGGGAGAGGAACAGAGTGCCAGGTTAGGGCTGCGTGCCCTGTCCCCACCATGACCCTTCCCCCCCAGGCCCGAAGAGCCTGAACCCTAACACAGCCCCCTCTGCTGCAGAGACATTCAGATTGATAGGTAGGGCTGCCCTTGGTCCCGCCTCATCCTTCACTCCCACATCCTGGTTACCAGCAGGTGACCATCTGACATTCACATCCCATCCCTGAGCACCACAGCGCGGCCGCCTATGGCAGCAGCTGGAGGAGCTGTTAAAAGTGGAGAAATTAGCCTTAGCTTGTTTGGCTCAGTGAATAGAGCGTCGGCCTGCGGACTGAAGAGTCCTGGGTTTGATTCCCAGTCAGGGCACATGCCTGGGTGTGGGCTCGATCCCCAGTATAGGGTGTATAGGAGGTAGCTGATCAATGATTCTCTCTCATCATACCCTGTTTCCCCGAAAATAAGACAGTGTCTTATATTAATTTTTTTCTCCCAAAGTTGCGCTAGGTCTTATTTTCAGGGGATGTCTTATCTTTCCATGGGCTAGGTCTTATTTTCGGAGGATGTCTTATTTTCGGGGAAACACGGTAGATATTTTTATCTCTTTCCCTCTCTCTTCCTCTCTAAAATCAATAAAAATATATTTTTAAAAGTTTTAAAATGTAAATCAGATAAAAATCTTCCAATGATTCCCCTCATGCTTTAACCATCCAAACTCCCCATGACTCACAAGAGCCATATCAGTTAGTCCTGCCTCCTTCCCACACCTCCTCACTCCCCTCCAGCCACACCACCTGGGGCTGCTCCTCCAGTGCGCTGCCTTCACTCCCGCCTCAGGGTCCTTGCACATGCTGTGCTGGCAGCCTTTCCTCCAGGCATTCCCAACTTTGGCTTCCTCTCTGGATATCTGCTCGAAAGCCTTCTCCTCAGAGACCCCTGCGCCCCAACTTCCTTAATATAACCCTCTTCCCCTCACTCTGCTCTGTTCTCTTCCTAGCACTCAGTCCTTCCTGCCAGGGGATCGCACACAGACTTGCTCATTGACCGCCTACCCCACTAGTCCCCCGGGGGCAGGCCCCATGCCTGTTGTGTTTACAACAGGCCTGAACAGTATGTGCTCAGCAAATATTGATAGACGAATGACAAAATAGATAATGATGATGGATGGCTGATAACTGATGCATGGATGAATGATAAATGGGTGACGGATAGATGGGTGATAGATGCATGGATGGCTGATGACTGAATGATGGATGGCTGATAAATAAATAAAAGGAAGGAAGGGAGAAAGAGAGAGAAAGGATGATCGATGGATGGATGATGGATGGCAGAAAGAAAGAATGAGAGAAAGAATGATGGATAGCCCTGGCTGGTGTTGCTAAGTGGGTAGAGCACCCAGTTGGGGTGCATGTGTGGGACGCAACCAATCCATGTGTTTCTCTCACATGGATGTTCCCTTCCTCCCTCTCTTTCTATTTCTTCTTCTTACAACAGTGCCTTTAGCATTTATTGCAGTGCTGGTTTGGTGGTAATGGAAAAAAAAAAAAAGGATGGATGGGTAGTAGAAGGAAGGGAGAGGGAGAGAGGATGATGGACGATAGATGGCTGGAAGGAAGGAAGTGAGAAAGACTGATGGACGGATGGAAGGATGGGAGAGAGAGAAATGATGATAAATGGGTGATTGAATACGTACTCACTGGGCCCCCAATTCATCACAGGGTCATTCTCATCCAGCCCAGTGAGAATTCTGGGATGCCCATCTCCCACCACCTTCTATCCTAAACGCCCGGGCATCGGGTTCTGGTCAAACATATGGTTTGGCGAGGCAGCTAGCAGGGGCTCAAATTTCAGCTTTGTCCTTCCCAACCAGGCAGGCAATTCTGGGCAGGCTGCCTCACTCACTAGGTTGTAGTTTCTGTACATATGTTTATCGGGACCCTACCTGCGGGTGCTGCCAGGAAGCAAAAAGCCTGCATCTGCCCCACCGTCTGTGGTGTTCTGTGAATCCAGCTCCAGGGTGAGATGTGAGGAGCACAGGATATTCTCAGAGTCCCAGAGTCTCCCCATAAAACAACTACAGGAGGGAATTAATGATTTTACTCTGGGGAGCCAGGGGAATGCCAGCGTCACCACGTGATCTAGATAATGGCACTAGGAAGCAGGCAGGAACCCTCTGTGATTCCTGCAGAAAATGCACAACCTGAACCCATCCTCAGGGACACGGCAGGCAGACCCACGGGCATCACAGATACCAGGGCCACAAGACCCAGGGGGAAACGAAGAAACTGCTGTCATGGAGGAGGAGGAGGTGGTGGTCTGTGCCCACAAGGAAAGCCATGGGAACTTCTGAGGAAGGCCTGGAGATGAGCTAATACGAATGCACGGTGTAGAGAATCCTGCTATGATTGTGCAGAGACTGTCCTTGCTCACGAAGACACGCCATGCATGGCATTTAGGAGTGAGAGGCCATGCACCTGAAACTTACTCTCATTGGTTCATAAAAATAAGACATACATTTATTTTTTGCACACACACCCAGGGGCGGGTGATAAGGCAGCATGTTTACAATTGAGAAATCGAGGAGGAGGAGATGGGAGTTACCCGTAGGATTCTAGTGATTTTTCTGTAAGATCAAAGTTAAGTCAAAATGAAAAAATCTTTAAGTGTCTGCCCTGATGTGACCTGACTCCGCTACCTCAGGGCCCCTGCTCAGCCTCGCCTCCTTTTGGGAGCGGCCGACATTTCTTCCATCAGTCACCTCCTGGGGACAAGGGACTTGTTTCCGATCTGTTGTGAAGCCCACCCATGAGCACCTGGGGCCCAAAGCGTCAGGCGTTCCCCCCCTTGCTTAGCTCTCACTCACCTGCCCAATGGGCCCCCAGGTCCAGCAGCAACAGCAGCAGCAGCAGCAGAGAGAAGGAGGCCTCCATGGCGCTGGGGAACTCAGCCTTGGGTGCCGCCTGGGCCCCCAGCACCTCCCACCCGACCTACCCCTTCCTATAGGGGAGGTCACATTCACAGCTTCACTCCCCACAGCACACACACACCACCCCCAGCTCACTGCTTTTCACCCACAAGCATTTCAGAAAAGTCTTTCTAAAAGGCTCTCCGAAGAGAAAACCACACCACACTTCACACCTGAAAAATTAACGAAAGTTCCCCCTCATCATCTAATATCCAATCATGTTCAACCCCATCTCACACCTCTGTGTGTGTGGGGGGGTTTTAATGTGTCTGTTTTCTTGGCCCTCTGTTTCTTATCATAACGAAATACATAAAACATATAACATAAAATGTACCATCTTTTTAAAAAATATATATATTTTATTGATTTTTCACAGAGAGGAAGGGAGAGAGATAGAGAGCTAGAAACATCGATGAGAGAAATACATCGACCAGCTGCCTCCTGCACACCCCTCACCGGGGATGTGCCCGAAACCAAGGTACATGCCCTTGACCGGAATCGAACCTGGGACCCTTCGGTCTGCAGGCTGTTGCTCTATCCACTTAGCCAAACCGGTTTTGGCAAAATGTACCATCTTAACCATTTTTAAATATACAGCTCAGTGGCATTAAGCACATACAAGCTGTTGTGTAGCCACTCATCCCCGCCATCCATCTTCAGTACTTTCTCATCTTCCCAAGCTGACAGTGTGTTCCCATTACACACTACACCTCTCCCCGCCCCCTTCCCAGTCTCTAGCACCCACTTACCTACTTCCTGTCTTTACAGATTTGACTTCTTCTGTGTCTGGCTTATTTCACTGAGCATGTCTTCAAGACTCATCCATGTGGTAGTATCAGCATGTCTTTCCTTTGTAAGGCTGAATCCATTGTATGGATGGACCACATCTTGTTTATCCATTCATCGTTCCATGGACATTTGGGCTGTTTCCAATCTTTGGTTATTCTGGATATAGATGATAGGAACACTCGTGTGCTGTGAGCTCTTGCGGGGTGACCACAAATTTGGGGTTCCTTAGTCAGGCTCAGCTGCATGGAGTGCAGTATTGAGCAGTGATGTCTGTTCTGGGCCAGCCAGGGTGGGGGCAGGTATGAAGGCTCCCAGGGGCTTCAGTCCTGTCTCCCTCCCTCCCTCCCTCCCTCCCTCCCTTCCTCCCAGGCTACTCCTCAGCTCTCCCCATCCATGTGATCCAAATTGGCCAAACAGATTGCTCCACTCCCCCTCCTTCGGTTCAGGACAGAATGTTCTAAGCAGGCTCATTGAGGGCCATGGTGTGGGTTTCTTCTACAAGCCTCACCCTCTCCTGGACTTGGAGCTGGAAGGATGTCAGCCTGGAGGTGGCCCCAAAGTGAGAGTTCACCTGAAAATGAGGCTCACACAGAGAAAGCTGAGTTTGGGGATGTTAGTTTCTTCTTGCATCTGTAACAGATTAAGGAATCACCTCACATTCAGTGCCTAAAACCACAGAAATTAATTCTCTTAGTGCTGGAAGCTGGAAGTAGCAAGTGGGCCTCACAGGGCTAAACCCAGGTGTAGGCAGGGCCTCCAGGGAAGAATTGTTTCCTGCCTTTTCCTAGACGGAAAAGGGATTAGGGAATGGACATCATTGGGGCTGTTATCCAGCTGACCACAGATCAGGCGAGACAAAGAGAAACATCAATTGGTTGTCTCCTGCACTCACCATGACCCTGGCCCAGGCTGGGAGGAGCCTGTAACCAAGGTGCCTGCCCTTGACCAGAATGGAACCTGAGACCCTTCAGTTCAAGGCCTATGCTCTATCCACTGAGCCAAAATGTCTAGGGCTCAACTCTAATTATTAACCCCATTGTGCATTGTAGAACACTGAAGTTCTGCATGTCAAAGCCACCTGTCCTTGGCTTGGTCAGTGAAGATGATTCAGAACTGGAGGCCTCAGATATTTTAGTCACATCTGTGTGAGCAAAAGCTCTGTTGGCAATCATGTGGAGTACTGAATATGGAGGAAAAGGGGGACAGATTGTGGCGGTTTTATTTTAAAAAAAACCCTCATCTGAGGACATGCTTTTATGATTTTCGAGAGAGAGGAAGGGACAGAGAGACAGACACTGATATGAGAAACAAGGATCGGTTGCCTCCAACTGGGGATTGAACTTGAAACCCGGGTAAGTGCCCTGACTGGGAATCAAACTGCGACCTTTTGGTGCCTGGGACAATGCTCCAACTGATCCACACTGGCCAGGGCAGATTGTGGCGGTTTCATTTACTTATTTAAAAATATTTTTATTGGTTTCAGAGAGGAAGGAAGAGGGGGAAGATAGAAACATCAATGATGAGAATCACTGATTGGATGCCTCCTGCATACCTCCCCACCCCTACTGGGAATTAAACCCACAACCCAACCAAGCACGTGTCTATTGTGCTCTGACTGGGAATCGAACCATGACCTCTTGGTTCATAGGTGGACACCCAACCACTGAGCCATGCCGGCTGGGCTGGTGGTGGTTTTAGACCATGGCCACCGATTCTCAGACATGCTCCCATCAAGAGATAGTCTGTGTCCCCTCTCTTTGAATTTAGGTGGGCTTGTGCCTACCTAGACCAATTGTGTGCAGCTGAAGCGCACACAATGGTTTGACCTCCAAGGCTGCTCAGAAATGACCTTTCTTCTGGGACGGTCATCTTGGAGCCTGTGCCACCATGCTGAGAGGAAGCCCTGGTGATGGATGTGGGGGCATGTGCGGGCACTCAATTCCTCTGAGCTCCAAGTTGCCCCAGCCCATTCACCCAACCTGAGTTAAGATGCCTCCAGAAGACCCCAGGTCCCATGGTTTAAGTCACCTAAGACATGGTGAAGAGGGGACAAGCCGCAGGATTCCTGACCCACAGAAGCTGCTTATAAAGTGGCAGTGGCCCTGTGTCACTAAGTTCAGATGGCTTGTTCTGCAGCACTGGGTGTGGAGACAGGAAGAGGTCCAGAGGAGAGGCTGAACCAACAAACAGGAGAGTGGCAGTGGGTGCTGGCATGACTCTAAGACAGAGGTTGACAAAATTTTCTAAAAATGGCCAAACTAAGTATGTTTGGCTTTTTGGGCCATTCCTCAGTACTGAAGCTGCAGCTCATAAACAGCCAGACTCAGGTAAAGTGGGTGTGGCTAGTTTGGCCAAAGGTCCTAGTTTGCTAATACAAGGCTTTCTGGTGCAGGCTACTGGCTCCTGGGCCCCAGGAGGCCCTGCCCTTTCACTGCCATTCTGAAGGCTGCCACCAACTTGCTGGGCTCACAGGAAAGAGCCCCAGAGAGCAGCTCACACTGTGGGTGACATCTTCCCCTTCAACACCCGCAAGGTGCAGAGGCTGACTCAGCTTCTCCCTCAGGAAATGCCTCTAACTTAAAGAGGAAGTGAAGAGAGGCTGTACATGCCCTGAGTAGCAGGAGGTGCCTGCAAGTTAGAAACACAGGCTGCTGTCCTGGCCTCAGTGCCTGTAGAGGGTCGCACATGTAGGGGGTGAAGGGGTCTACGAATACTCAGGCGTGCTCTGCGGGCTGCCTCACCTGTAATGCAAGCAGGGCTGAGGCTCCTGGACCAGGCCCAGGGAGAGGGATGGGCGTGGTTCTCAACTGGATCTGAGCAGAGTTCCCCACCCCCATGGCGTGGTTGCCATGGGGGTGGGGAACTCTGCTCAGATCCAGTTGAGAACCCTGGTAAGTGGGTGTGTTTGTCAAGAGTAAAACCTCACTGGCCCTGTGCTGCCCTCCAGCTGAGTTTAAGGAAAGCAAGAAATTAAAACGACTGGGTGAAACTTTGCACATTTTAATATAGGAAAATCATTCATGTTAACAAATGAAATTGTGAGGGCCCACTATAAAAGCTGTATCTGTGGCACTGGGCTGTGGCGCATTCGTGGAGCAAGCAGACCAGGTGCGTAGGCTCTACGGGGTCCACCACCTGCAAGGGGGTCCTACAGGCTCCAGCCACAGTGACTAGTCAGGCCAGAGCTCACTCGGGCTTTTGTTCTGATGTCACCATCAGACCCTGAATCCAGCTTGCTCCGGGCTTTTGTTACACAGAAATAGTCAGAGGCTTGGGTGACACTGGGTGTAGCATCTGCAGGCAGCAGGGTGGAGCCACCTGAGGGTTGGAGGTTGCAGGTTGTTTTCAGCCTAGGGCTCAGGACCTTGGGCCCACATCCTCAGCCTCAGGAGTGCACCCCAGGTGCTAGGCCTGCCCCCAGGCTCCACACACTTAGGTGCTGTGGGCATCAGGCCCGGCCACTGTACCCTGTAGTCCTAGGGGAGGCCAAGGAAAGGTTGGTCTCTGGGCTTCTCATAAAGTTGTTTTATTTAGATTCCAAACACACCAAAGCCGAGAGAAGAAGTGATGACAAGTTAATCTGTCCACTCATGAGCTGGGGACCCCAAGTCTCTGGCTCCAGCCAGTGGGGCAGTAGACAGGGCTGGAATCTGGGCCCCTCAGGCCACCTTCGCCCCGAGGCCCACCAGGTGCCCAGCACTAACGGGGCCCCTCCTCTCTGAAGCAGAGGAAAACCCAGAACAAACATGGGGAAAGGAAAGCGAGACCAAGGAGACAAGGCAAGAGCGGAGCCACCTCCCTGAGGTAGTCTCGGCGTCAGGAGGTGCCCGAGCGCCCACAGAGTCTGGGCCTGGTGAGGTAAAATCTGTAAGTTTATTCGGTGTGGGACATGGTGTCAGGATTCCTCGTTGCCAGAGTCATCCTCATCGTCCCCAAAGCAGCTGTCCGCTTCGGCCTCGGCATCCTCGTAATAGTCATCGTAGAAGAGGTCCGAGCCCTCGTCGGGCGCCGGGGCCTTGGTCTTCACGCAGTACTCGGCCAGTGTGGTGGGCACCTTTACACCATCCCGCTCTGCGTCCACCTTGGTCCCCAAGACCTGCTTCCTGGGGAGAGACCGGGAGGGAGTCTGTCAGGATCCACCGCCAGATGCCTTTGGAGGGAAGGAGGTGACCAGGCAGCTTTGTGGAGGGTGACTTGTGCACTAAGCCCCAGGGAGGGGCCTGACCGAGGCCTAGCCACAGGGGACACTGCGGCAGGGACCAAGGATCCCCGAAGATTGCTACACTAGGTTTAAAAGGATGCCATCAAACTATACACTTAACCCAGATGACAAAATATCGAGGGGGGTTGGTCCTCCAGGGCCACAGCTGAGGAGCCTACAAGGCAGGCAGAGGGGAGGAAAAGTGGACGGTGGGGACAGCACTCTGGGAGAGAGAGAAAGGATGGGACGGGCTCACCCAGGAAAGAGCGGACTCAGCACTGCACTGCTCACGAGGCAGGAGGCAGGTTAGGGAAATGCTCCTGTTTATAGTGAAAGGGAGGACAAATGAGGTGACAGGGTAGTAACATCCCAAGGGACATGCACCTGACCGTCAACACCCTAGCCCCATATCACGTATATCTGAAACTAGAACTTCACAGGACCAATCCACAGATGCTAAAACCTCTAAGCCCACCAGGGGCTCTGTCTGGTCATGCTGACAGAACATGTGGGAATGCAGATGGGGTGAACAAACAGGCAGAAAGCAGCCATCACAGCTACCCACGTGGGCACATGTGAGCTGGCCCACAGGGAGTCTGGAGAGATAAAAATAGTCTGGATTTTATTTCAGCATCATGTGGGAGGTGGAGGGGAAGAACTGGCAAAGGAGTGGGCCACGTGGGCAGGATACTCTGAAGGTGCCACCCAGCACTCACTCTGAGACCCTGAGGGTTGTGCACAAGTATCAAATGAGGCTGGCAGAGCAGGTGCTTGCCAAGCACCTCCTAGGATGGCTGGTGGGGGACTAGTGTTGCTATGTCCATCACAGTTCTTCATCAGCTCCTGAAACTGGAAACTATGACTACCCAGCATCAAGGACAGCTTTCCCGGGACCATAAGGGGATGCAGAGAAGGGTGCACCCTGTTGCTCATGGATCCCCTGGGGGCTGTGTGTGTCAAAGTGGTTTAAAAATTATTACATAAACCACTACACAACAACCAGCAAAAACAGGCCAGACTAAAAGAAGCCAGCAGAATTTAGTCAAGGAAAATAAAACAAGTAAATGAGAAGGGTCCCACAGGAGAGGTAGAAGACCTGATGCTGCAAGGTCACCAATGCCATGTGCATGTACATCTGCTCACAGGTGCACACACACATGGGTAAGACAGGGATTAATCAAACTGCAGGATGAGGTGAAATGGAGAACTAAGGGCTGTTTAAAGACAAAAAAAACAGTTGGTTTCTTAGGAAGGGATAAGCAAGTTATGACAAATTAAGCACATGGACAGCCTCGTAGGTCAGGCACCAGGAAGCTACTAAAGGCTCTTTCCTACTTTCTAGGTAAGAGCAGGTGGTAAAGCTGGATTTGCACCACAACAAGGAGATGATCATGTTAACTACCAAACCTCACCAAACTGAGTCCAAAAAGGATGAGTGAGCTCTACTGCACATGACATCTCAACAAACCTGACTAAAAAGTTGGTTACAAAGTGGCCTATACTGCATGGTCCCATTTTTTGGATAAAAATCTGGAAGGATACACCCAGGCATTAACCATTAGGTATTAGGATCATGGTTTTTTTTTTCTATTTGCACATAAATGTTTTTGCCTTCTTGGAATTTGATTTGTTTCGTAGCTTTATTAACACAAACTGTACCCATGTGTCAGCAGTGAGCTCTGACCCACGTGTGCCTCCTGAAAGCACCCCACAAATGAGATCACAAATGTACCCATCACCTCCAGATGCCCCTATGCCTCTTTTATTTTTATTAATATATTTTCATTGATTTCAGAGAGGAAGGGAGAGATAGAAACATCAATGATGAGAGAGAATCACTGATTGGCTGTCTCCTGCACACCCTCCACTGGGGACTGAGCTGCCCCCTGGGACCCTTCAGTTTGCGGTTGACGCTCTATTCACTGAACCAAACTGGTTATGGCCCCTATGCCTCTTAAAGCTCATATCCCCGATGGCCACAGATGCACTTCCTAGGATTCCTGTCCAGTAGCATGGTCCCTTGTTTGCCTGGCTTCCTTCATGAAGCTTAACTCCTGGAGATGTGCCCACATGGCTGGTGAACAGGCCACAGCTTGCTCACCTTAACTGTGGATGTACATTTGGGTTGTTGTTTTTGGCGATTTGATGCTGTTTTGAACATCTGCATAGATGCTGGTGTAGAATGTGCCTGTTTTTCTTGGGTAAGTACTTAAGTCTGGAATGACTGGGCCATAAGGCAGGGTGTGTCTAACTTCTTACTTTTCTAATTAAAAGGTAAATGAACCCTTGCTGGTTTGGCTCAGTGGATGGAGCATCAGCCTGTGGACTGAAGGGTCCCAGGTTCGATTCTGGTCAAGGGCACATGGCCGGATTGCAGGCCCAATCCCCAGTAGAGGGCGTGCAGAAGGCATCCAATCAGTGATTCTCATCATTGATGTTTCTATCTCTCTCCTTCCTCCTTCATCTCTGAAATCAATAAAAATATATTTAAATAAATAAAAAATAAAAGGTAAATGACAAACTGAAAGTATTTGGAAAACACCTAATAAAGGGCTATTTGTCATGAAAGAAGTCAGTAAACTCCATGATAAAAATTGACAATGGACAATGGACACAAGAGCTCACAGAATTTGACAAAACAGAAAATGCAAAAGAATGGGTCAGACAGCTCGGACAGAAAGCCAATGGCTTGCACACCCAGGGCCCTGAACAAGGTTCTGTCCCCGATCTGGCACCTGCACTGCTGAGAATCCACTATATAAAGTCTGGAAGATGTTTGGCTGCTCATTTGTGAGGGGAGAGTGCTGGGAACAACTATGAGAATAAGAGGCTAGTGCTGGCAAATCCTTAATATGTTGCTCTTAGAACCAAGAAAAAATTATTTTTTAAAAAAAAGGCTATTTTCTAAATATGCTGATACCATATGGTTTTTCTGCCTTTAAATAATGATTCAAAATTTCAAAATTACAAACTTAAGTGATGTTCACAGCAGCAAATTATTAAGTGGGAAAGATAAACCATTTCACAAAGCATAATCTCAGTAACATGAAAAATGACCATATGAAAAACTGATGAGGAACAGAAGCAAGCAGTGGACACGTGTATGCCCAGATGTGGGTCAGGAAGCACCTAAAAGTGGATGGGCAAACCATACCCCATTAGCTGGACACACCACAGGCCAAATGTAACAGGCCCCCGTTTTCAGGTGCTGCCCTAGAGAGAGGGGAGCAGCAAGGGTCAAAGGGAACACTGGGAGGACCTCTGGAGCTCGCTGCTGGACACCTGGGTGTCTATTTCTGTGCTGCACTATTATGCCTGTGTGTGTGATACACCCACATCCCAACACACACACACACACACACACACACACACACACACACGATGTCTGTTTACTACATTAAATACATGGACCTGTATGAAAGATATTTCAAATGCAAAACACATCCAATTTTCTTTAAAAAACTTTTTTTAAAAAGGAGAAGAAGAAGAAAGAGAAAGAGAAGAAAAGAGAACAGGAGGAAAGAACCAATGGGTTGGGCTTGAATCCAGTTTGGGCTTGAAACCTGTCCAGTGGCCTAGGTTTCCCCAGTAGTGACTCCTGCCCTGTGGACAGATGTGAGAGGCCAGGTTGGTCTGGGAGCCCTCTCTTACCGGATGATGTCTGTATACTCCCGGTCCTTGCCTTTGCTCTCTTTCCACTTCCTGTACATCACAGAGGCGTCCACGTTAGCCGGGGAGAAGGTGTTAGGTTCGTTGAGGAGGGAGATGACGCTCAGGAGGATGGTCCTGGGGAGGGGAGCACAAAGTCAGCAGGTACAGGGTGTGGATGGTGTTCAAGGGATGCATCCTGGAAGCCAGGTCCGACGTTGTAGCAGGAACCACAGGCTGAGCACAGCCTCCTGGCGCCTGCCATTTATTGGAGAACACACAAAGTCCCAGTTTTGCAGCCTCTCAGGCCTGAATGTCACTGGGGGAGCCAACACCAACCCAGAGATCCCCTTGTACCTCCCTATCCCAAAAGCAACATTTGTCTAGACTTCTCACTGGGCCTTCCCTGACTACTCCTGCCCTCTGTCGCATGCCCAACTCCCTGGACAAGACGTATGTGGGCAGCCAAGCCAGGAGCACCTTTCTTCCACTTGAAACATGCCTCTCCCATGCTCAAGTGCCCTGCCTGGCAAATGGGTCCCTCTGTACTGCCATCTTTTACTATGGCCACCCTGCTACTGGACTAAGGATATGCAGACAAAGAGGCGGGTGCCAGGCCTGGGGACTTGGCTAGGCTCAGTGGAGGTTGAAGAAGGAGAGGAGACCTCAGAGTAAGGCAGAGGGAAGATCCTGTGGGCAGAAAGATATGGACAAAGGTTCCCATTTGATGGGGCAGTGAGTGTCAGGAAATGAGGGGGGAGGCCAGCAGAGATGGCCCTGGACCCCCAGGGCCCCAGCACACTGGCAGAAGACCAGTTTCAACCAATGCCAAAGAGGGATGACACAGGTGTGTTTCCCTCTGTCTGGAGCAAAGAGGTCAGAAATGCTGGGGGTGGGGGGACACGTCTACCTGCTGACCAGCCTCACCTGACATTTTGGGTGGGGTTCCACCGCTCCGAGGGCAGCTCACCGCTCTGGGGGTCATCGACTGGGGGGTGGAGAATGGAGATGCACACGTCCCCTGTCTGTGCAGGGACAGGAGGGAGGGATCAGTGCCCATACCAGCACGAAGGCCACACAGTGCCCCTCCCCTGCCCGCCCCCATTACAGAGAGGCTGGGAGAGATAAGTGGGAGAGGCAGGCTCACCTCATAGATGTTGGGGTGCCACATCTTGGTCAGGAACCGAAAGGCTGGTGGGGAGTAAGGGTAGTCGATGGGAAACTTGAGGCGTGCCTGGGGAGTGGGCAGAGAGCAGGAGGACTCAACCAGGGCTGGCCCTGTTGTCCCATCAGTGCCGAGTATGGAATCAGGCTGGATAGGACAGGAATCCTCTTGAGGACTCCATCCACAAACACACAAACAAGGACATCAGGCTGGGACGGACACCGCCAGTACAGAAGGGCTGCTCAGCTGGGACGGGCACTCGTGAGTGCATGAGTGCACAATTGGTTGCCACAGGCTTTTTTTTTTTTGGGGGGGGTGTCCCCCTGAGCTTATCCTGGTAACCACCCTGCTACTGGGGAGTGCGGGCAGTTGCCCAAGAAGCAGCTCCAAGCCCATCTGGCCCAGGCCTGTAGGAGGGTCAGGAGGCTGTGCCCCAAGGTGGGCTCACACCAGCAAACAGTTCCACAGACCAGAGGGGCATAGGCCTTGGCCCTGGGAGCTGTGCACCTCAAGTACAGTGCTGGAGTCCCTGCCTCAGTTCCCAGGTTGTGGGGAAGATTAAAATAGATGTGTGTTCTGTGGGCCCTGTGGGAGGAGATGAGTCAGTGCTGGGTGGACACTCTCTGCCCGCAGGTGTCCATCTTGGGAGATCAGGAAGGCAGACAGGAAGGTCACATGGGAGACGGGAAGGGCCACCTGACTGGGTGACAAAGCTACACAGTTTCAGTAGGTGTGGAAGCTTCGTTTGCTTGCTTAAGCCCCAAATCGCAGGTTTCGGGACATCTGGCCCAGGATGTCCTCAGGCTCTCAGTGGCGAAGAGCAGGGTAGGGGCCCCGGAGGAACAGGGCGTCTCTGCTGGGAGGGGGTCATTTGGGTCAAGTCCCTCTGCCCTCGGCTGAATGATGAGGTCACTAGCTATGGCAGCAGAACAAGTCTGGAACCTGGGTCCCCTAAGCCCAGTGCCCGGCTTCTAAGCGACAACCTGAGAAATGGTTGAGGCCTCCTCAGTGGAGCAGGGGGACAGGCCTCCCCTGCACCTAGCACCCACCGGGTCTCAGCACGTCTGTTTACCTCTGAGCAAACTGAAGCTCTGAGAATGAGGGCACCTTCCCTAAAGCACACAGCAGGTAAGATGTGGAGGGCGCTCCAGAACCTGCCTTCTCTGACGCCGTGTTAGCACCCTACACTGTCCGGGGACCTGTCCTGGGCCAGTGCTTCCGAGGTCATCAAGGAGAATTAGGGGCAGTTGGGTTAGGCCTGGAAAAGGTGCTGGAGGAAGTAGTTGCGAAGTGATGGTGACCCACAGGCATTTCCACATTTCCTGGGGAAGAGGGTTTCCCCCCCACTCCCTACCTGACCACAAGCAGACCTGAAGGAGGACTGGGTGGGTGGCAGAACCACCCTGAACTCCATACTGGCTTCCTTGAGGCTAGACCCTGTGGCAGATATGCTCAAAGTCTGGCAGGCTCCCTCCACAATCCATTCTTTTCTAGGAAAACTAGATTATCTCCAGAAAAACCTGGGAGGCTCTACTCACAACCACTTAGTATGCCATAGCCAGACACCACATCCTTTACGACTCTACGCAATCTTACTTAGTCCTGGCCTGGCTTCGCCTAAGGGTGGGGTCCCAGCTCTGAAGGAGCCCTTATCCTCACAGCCTGCGGCTCTTCTGAGCAGACAAAAGAGGCTGAGGGGGCTGGGTAAACCTTTCAGTAATCGGCCCCAAATCTGTTCCCTGCATGGGAAAGTCTGACTCCAGATTCAGAACTCAGACAGGGCTGTTCACACTCCTGCCCCCTCTCCACCCCAGCAGGCCAGGCGGCTCCCTCACAGACAACTGAGCAGGTGAGACCAAAACATTAGTCAAAAGTGCAAACAGAGACATCTGTCTGGGCAGCACTGCCCCTCCCTCCCCACCCCCCACAGCCTGGCCTAGCTGGTTTCTGCTCCCCACCCAGGCCTCCCAGCCAGGCAAAACCTGGCAGGTCCTAGCCATGCTTTTGGCAGGCTGTGATGGGGTGTGTTCCTATGCTTAATGCTTGTTTCTCACCTCTCCCACAGGGAGACCCCAAAAAGTCAAGTGCTGCTACCTGAAAGGGGTCCTTCCAAGGCCCCATCTGGGCTAAGATCATGAGGATGAGAAAGCTGCCTGGGTTTTGGCCCAAGTCCTTTGTCACCCCGGTCCCAGGGAAAGCACTAACTTCCCTTTACTGATCCCAACAACAACAAAAGGGAAATGTTTGGAATTAGACCACAGAATAAAAGGCCCAGAGTGTGAGCTTCTGGTCATCTGCTTAGGGGAACCTGAGAAAGGCCAGCTGGGGTGAGAGAGGAGCTGGAGCTTCGGAGGCTAGGGTCCTGGAGGCCACGGGGGCTCCTCTGGAGTGTGGCTCCCAGGGACAGGGTGGATAGGAGTGACAACCTTCGCCTCAACCTTCCCTAGAGAACAGGTTTGTATAGCTCCGGATAAAGCTGAGAGGGCTTGGCCCGTTGCTATCGGCAAAGGGTGGCTGCTTTCCAAGCAGGTCCTGGCTGCCAAAGTCCCATCCAGGCCTTTGTTAGAATCTGAGCAAGTGGCGGAGCCAGACCCCTACCCCCACGCCGCTGGCCACCCTCCCTCTTTCCCTCCCTCCTTCCCTCTCCGGAGGCCGGTGCTCCCCAACAATAGTGTTTGCTGGTTCTGGGGGAGCCTTTGTCTCTTCCGGGCAGGGGGCTGGGAAAGCAGCAGCAGGATGGGCCAGCTAGGGCGAGGTCGGGGCACCAGGGGCTGAGACCTCCCAGGAGCGGGGTAAACAAGAACCCGCCCAAACAAAACAACGTTCATGCCTCCACTCCGGGAGAGTCTGAGTTTAAGTTCTCGGGACTCCTGGGGCCTGAGAAGGAGGGACTGAGTAACCCCGAGTGACAGCGGAGAGCCTCGGCACAAGGAGAGGGGGGTCGCCGAGCGAGAAGGGTAGCGGCATCCGAATGGGCTGCGGACTCACCTTAAAGTAGCCGCCCTCGTAGTAGGTGTTGGGGGGCCCGAAAATGGCCACCTCCCAGTTGTACAGGTCGCCCTCGTCCACCAGGGTCACCCGGAAGCCCTCCACCGGCTCCTCCTGCAGCCCCTTGAGTTCGAGCAACAGCGCCTTCTGTGAGCTGGGTACCAGCGGCCGGGCCATGGCGGCGGCGGAGGAGGAGCCCGGGAGCGGGGGCGCGATGGGTGGCGGGGCCGCCGCGGGGGCGCGGGCCGGGCCGGGCCGCGCGCCGGCCGGGGGGGCGCCGCCGGGGCCGCCTCCGCCTTCCTCCTCTACGCCGCCGCCGCCGCCGCCGCCCGGGGCCCCCGAGCGCTCCACTCGCTCTGGCGCCGCCGCCCGCCCGGCGCTGCCTTCGGCCCGGCCCGCGCGCCCCGCCCCGCGCTGCGCCTGCGCGCCGCCCCCGGGCTCCGACCGCGCCTGCGTGCCGCGGCCCGGCCCGGACGACACCTGCGTTCGCCCGCGGGGCGCGCCGGGAAGTGGAGTCCCCCTCCCTCGGGCCAGCGGGCGCGCGCCGAGCGCGACAGCCGGGAGGGAGGGGGCCGAACGCCCGAGTGCCTTGGTGCTGCCGGCCTCTGGGAGGCTGCTGCAGCCCCCCTGCTCGGACGAGCACCCCGACGCCTGTCCACAGCGAGGAGGGCAGGCCTGGGCTGAGCCGCCACGGCCCGCACGCCGGGCTTTTGGGGTCTTTTTTTGTGACGTCCCCGGCGCGGGGCGGGGCCGGGGCGGGGAATTGGGAGCCGGGGCGGGGAATTGGGAACTGGGCCGGGCCGGGCCGGGTCCCCGTGATGCTGAGTGTCCCGGTCGTGACCCTACCGTCCTGATTCTATTTTGCTGTAAGTGAGGGGAACTGGCTGATTCCCTTCCCGGATCGCACGGGGCGACCGGAAGGGGCGCCGGACCGATGGGGAGGCGGGAGGACAGGTGAGAGCCCGCGCTGGAGCTCACGCACCCGGTCCTCGGCGAGCTGTGCCTCAGGTTCTCGTCGGTGGGGTTGACGATTGGGCCCTCCGGGCAGATGCGAAGGCCCCCGCGACCGCGAGGGAGGTGAGGAAGACTGAGCAGAACTTTAGTCACCATTTGGATCCACCGAGTGGGATCAGAAGAGAAGGAGAAACGGGAATCAATCAGTCCACTCCTCCTTCAGCACTCATTTGGCACCCATCCTGGAGGAATCCCCAGACTGATTGATCCCTAATCCTGGCTGGGCCCTCCTTCAGGCTGACCTTTGACCCCATCCAAATCCTGACCCAGGGCTTCACCCTGACCTGCTGGAGCTCTGATCTGGCTGAGTCCCTGGACCCAGGACACCTTGTCAGGAGAGTGAGGTGTGGTGCCCTGGTCTCCATTCCTCCACCTCCACAGGATGACAGCTCCCTGTGAGGATGACCAACTTGTTGTTGTGGCCCAGGCTTCCTGCTGTGCCTGTGGCCTTCCTGGCAGGTGTCTTGGACAGCCAACACCTGCAACAACTGCAGGCTGTGCCAAAGTTACACCCTCCCCAGCTGCCCCAGGACCTGACCCCCTTGTCCTGCCCCACTGACAGGCAGGTAAACCTGTCTGGGAAAGAGAAATAAAACGTCAACAGTGGGGAAGGACAGAAGAGCTAGAGCAGCAGCTCAAATGGCTGCTCAGAACTGGGCCTTGGCTTTCTCAACCATAAAGCTCTAGGCTTTGCCTGTGCCCTGCACCCTGGGGATCTGGATCGGGCCCCCTCATCTGTCAAATGGCCTGTTGCCTTTGCCGAATGGTCCAGGTGTTACCCTCATTGTCTGCCCATAAAACCAATGTCATAGTGTTGGCAGCTGGTCAATAAATAGTTATTAGATTAATCATGATTTTTTCAGAGAGGTTTCCCAAAGTCCCTCCCTATGTACTGGGAAGTGCTGCAAATGTAAAGGAAGTGCTGGGCTCCTGCCCCCTGCCCTGGGTTGGTCCCACACGGGGCCCGGTCCCTCAGGAAAGCCTGCTCAAGCTCTGAAACTGCAGTGGTGGATGGCTAGCGTTTCTGCCTCCCGTTTTCTGACCACAGCACCTGATTTTCCGGTGGGGTTTCCTGGTCTGTCAAATGTTCTTTCCTCATAGGGCTGTGGCAAGTCCAATAAGACATTGCAGGTCTCGAACATGTCAGCTGTGCTGTCATCATTGCCGGTAGTATCTGCTGTGAACTCTTCCTCTGATAGCTGGGAGAACGGAGGCCCAGGGAGGAACTGCTTGGGTGGGGCGTGTGTAGAGAGCAGGGCTGGGGACTGGGTCATCTTCCAGAGCCATTGGTCATGCAGGGCCTCAGCCCTGAGGCAGGGCACCTCACTGAATACCCATTGCCCTCTGCTCCCAGAAAGCTGCGTCCAGGGGCACCCTGGCATTTCCAGGTGGCGAATATGGCTTCTGGGCAGTGGTGGGCCTGCTGGGTGGAGAAGCATTTCTGTGGCACGGGGCTGGAGGGTGGGGAGCAACACACGTCAGGTCTGCTTTGGATACAGATTTTATTACTGTTGCCGAGGAGAGGGGCCTTTACAGGTATGTGGGGAGGGGTGCCCCCTGAAGGGGGCTAGAATATCATTCCAGGGCCGAAGCTGGGTGAGGGCTCTCCGCACCCCCCCTGCATGCAGAAACCCCAGTCCTGGTCCCATAGCCATGTTCTTCTGCCCAGGAGCAGGCGAGCCCGGCCTCAGAGAGTCCCCAGCTGTCAGGGTGGAGGAGGCAGGTGAGGAGGGGCTCAGCCCACTGGCTTGACTTTGGCAATAAAGAGGGCAGCAGCCTTCTCCAGGAACTCCTCTCGGGTCATGGGGGAGCTGGGCCGCCGAGCCACCAGAGCTCGGTCCATGGCCAGCGCCAGGCTGTCAGGCCCCAGGCGTGAGCCGGCCTCCAGGTAGTGGGTGGGAGCAGAGGCGCCACTGCTGGCCTGCAGGACCCCCTCCAGGGTGTCCAGCACTGCCTGGCCCATGCGGCGGTCAGCAACGGCCAGCATGGGGTCCTCCAGCAGCTGGTAGAGGGCGCCAGCCCGCCCCACGAACTCCAGCAGCACGAAGCAGGTGAGCATGCCGGTGCGGAACACGTCCAGCGGCACAGCCTCGTGGTCCCGGCACTGGATCTTGCGCAGCAAGGGGGCTACGACCTCCTCGGGGGCCTCCCCATCTCGGCAGATGCGCTTGAGCAGTTCACTGTAGGTGCGCCCATCCAGCCCCGGCTTCTTCTTGCGCCCACTGGCGCTCAGGCACTCATAGGCCACGCCGACATTGTTGTTGAAGGCTGTCCTGCAGGCGGACAGGGGTGTTGGGCCAGCCCAGCAAAGCCCTCCACCCCCACGCCCACCAGCCTAGTCCAGGCTCCTGGCCCCCTTGTTCTTCCTCCAACATGCCAGGGCCTTTGCACAGGCTGTGACCTCCCCCTGGGACGCCCTTCCCACAACTCCCATGGCAACCCAAGTCGCCGTTCTGGTGGGGACCTTCCCTCCTTAATCTTTTCCTCCTCTTTTTGTTAATAATTACTACTACCGGACTCACTATATGGCGTCCTTATGAGTTTGTTTTTCCAACCTGAATGTCCAGGAGCCCACACCAGGTTTTAGCTGTCAGTCACTGTGCAAGACCAGTGCCCGGCCCATGGCAGGTGCTCAATAAAGGTCTGCTAAGTCAGCTGACTAGCATCTGCCCCTCGGGACTCTCCAACTGCCCTTCTAAGGATGACACTTGCACTCACAGGGTGGCCATTCTTGGCCCAAACACTGTGCCTATCTCATTCCATTCCCCTAGTCCCACTGGCCAAGAGTCGGCAAACTACAGCCATGGGTCAAACCCAGCCCACTGCCTGTTTTTGTAAATAAATTTTATTGGCACACAGCTTCGTTAACCCAGTGACAGGTTGCTTATGGGAGCTTTCTTTCTTGCTGCAATGGCTGAGTCCAACGTTCACAACAGAAATCAGCCTGCAAAGCTGGGAGAGCTTGCCACCTTTACAGAAGTCTGTCAACCCTGCTCTCAGCTGTAAGGTGGGGGCTATGCGGTGGGTATGGTTCCTTGCCCCTTGAGCAGCCTGAGGTCCTACTATGTGCCCTGGCCATATGTGTTGTGAACTTCGTGAGCAAAGTAGGGCAGCACTGGTTACGTGTGGGCTGTAGGGTGAGCCTGGAGCCCACGCACTTAACCAGTTTGTGTACAGTGGGTGCCCAGTGTCTCACTCTCCTCACATCTACAGCCCAGTACCTGGCCTGTGGCCCAGGGAAGGATGGCTGGTGGCCTTTTACTGGTTTCACAGTCACAGTGGAAAGTGAAGTTCAGGGCAGGCTGATGGTGGGCCAAGGATCCCAGGGAGGAAGGGCCTGACCCTAGGCCTTAATATTCACCCTTTCTGGGAGCTCAGCTCCATGGCTCACACTGCAGCTCCACTCTTTTTTCCAACCCTCAAGGATGCCTTTCAAACTGATAAGAACAGATGCTGCACTTGATCTTAGCCAAAAGACTGAGAAGCAATTCCAAGGATATGTTTTAGAAAGGAACGGAGGGAAGAAGATAGGGAAGGAGGGAGGGAGGGAAGGGGAGAAACATTGGTCGCCTCTGGTAAGTGCCCTGACTGGGGAACAAAACCTAGGTATGTGCCCTGACCAGGAATCGAACCCACATCCTTTTGGTGTACGGGACCATGAGCCACCTGCCCAGGGCTGCAGCACCACTCTGATCTCATGTGTGACCTGGCACACCACCTCACCTTTCTATGGATTAGTGTATAGTGGGTGCCCAGTAAGTGCTGACCAACATATAGGAGATGTCCAGTAAACTTATACTCTGGTCGCCTCTGCTGCCCAGCACGAGGCTTATAAATAGCTGTGCCGACCTGATGAGCTATGTAGGTCAAAACCCCATTACACAGGAAACTGGCACAGAGGTGAGGGCGGTAGCTTAGGAGGTCTCTCTCCCAGATGGGACCCGTTCGCACCCATCTGGCCATCAACTCCTCTGCCTTCCCATTTATTGGGCCCTTTGAAGTGACTAAGACCATCCAGGGAAGCAGAAGGGGTGCCAGATGCAGCTTCATGTTCAACAAACATTTGTTTCCATGATTACGACTGTTAGCACATAATAACCCTGTGTAGGAGCTTTTATTAGCTCCTTCACCAGAAGAAGGAAGTGGGGGAATCTGGTGTAACTGTGGCGGCCATGAGTGCCTGAATCAGTTACCCATTGCTACATGACACACTTGGTGTCCTAAAATGGCAACAACAGTTATGACGAGGTTTCTGTATGGCAGGAACTCAGGAGAGGCTTAGTGGGAGGATTCTGGCCTGTTCCCTTATAAGGTCGAGGTCAGGATGTCAGCTGTGGCCATGGTCCTCTGAAGCTGGACAGTGGAGGTGTTTCACATGCCGGCTCAGACAGGAGGCCTTGGGTCCCGGCCCTGGGTGTCCCCATGGAGTGACGAGCACCTCCACACATGGAGGGTGTGCTCCCACACACTCCATGTGTCCGTGACACCTAGAGCTGACACATCCTGTAGCTGTGGGAGACGGGTGCATGCAGGTGTGAATACCAAGAGGTGAGGGCCTCTGGGGGCATCTGGAAGGCTGGAAAGCACTGTGCTGTCCAACCCTCCACCCTGTGTCTGAGCCCTCTAACTTGCTTTGGTGACTGAAATGTGAATGTGAGCCAGGCGACGGCCACGTTTAATGGAAATTTTCAGAGCCATCACATCATTCTCCATGGTCGCCTGCCACGGTGTAAGCTCACAGCAGCCCGGCGGTGTGAGGACACAAACCTTAGTTGTGTTGAGGCCACTGAGGTTTCAGGGCCTGGAAGCTCTCCCCCAGGAATCTGGGGGGCAAACATCTAGGTGCTTGTAGGTTCCCCGGTGTCCCTGGACCCAGCTCAGACCTGCATGCAAGTCCTAGCCACTGCCTCTCACTTTCCTCATCTGGAGAACGAGGGTTGTAATCTGAGCCCCTGGAGTCTTGTGAGGACAGAAGGGTAGATTTTATGCCAGTGTTCCAGGTTGTGCCAGCACCTGGGAGGGGCCCCATGTGTGCTTGTCATTTGCTATAACCTGGGCTGCAATTCAGCTGGGCTGTCCAGAAGCTGTTTATCTTAGGCTCCTGGCCTCGTGGGGCAGGAAGGCATGCAAAGGGGTAATTACAGCCCAGTGAGATCAGAGCTATGACGAGGATTGGGCAAGAAGCCCAGAGGAAGGCAACAACCAACCTCTAGGCGGAGGCCTCATAACAGCCCCTCTGGGGGGCTCCCCAGGTGGTTCCCAATCATGAGGGGCAACCATGCCATCTGGGGGGTGGGCAAGAAGGCAGTCAGCACCAAAACCGGTTTGGCTCAGTGGATAGAGCGTTGGCCTGCAGACTGTAGGGTTCCGGGTTTGATTCTGGTCAAGGGCATGTACATTGGTTGTGGACACCCCCCCCAGCAGGGGGTGTGTAGGAGGCAGCTGATGAATGGTTCTCTCCCATCAATGTTTTGACTCTCTCTTCCTCTCTGTAAAAAATCAATAAAATATATTTAAAAAAAGAAAAAAAAGAAGTCAGCCAGCTCTGGACTTGTTGGCCTGGGTTCCATCTTGGCTCCACCATGGAACTCTGGGCACTTACTGAGGGCTCCATTCCTGTCAGCAATTTGTGAAATATGTGAGCATTTGTTAAAACAAAAAAAGAATATAATATTTACGGGGTGTCTCATAAAGTCACAGAAATTTCATTTTAGACCAGGGGTTCTTAATAGGGGTAATTGTGCCCCAAGGACTCACTGGGTAATATCTGGGGACATTTGTAGTTATTGTCACACTGAGGTGGGGGCTAGGAATGATGCCCAGCACTCCACAGTACCCAGGACAGCCCTCAGAGGTGGCGTGAGCTCAGGAGCCTTAGCTGGACCTGTTGGTGCCTGGCATTCCTGCAGTTACTATTAGCAACATGATGGCTTAGAAGTCCTTGGAGCCACACTGCCTGGGTCTGACTCTGGCTTTGTCCCCTCATGGCCATGCAGCCCTCACAAATCCAGATGAAACCCAGGGTCCTGAGGCCAGCAGGGGGGTGATGGGATGCCATCACCAGTCCGGCAGGCCAGCAATTCTGACTTCTTGAGACACCTGCACACCCTCTTTTGTGACGACGTGCTCAAGAGCAGCCTCATGATAGCCTGGTCAGCCTTGCAGCATCAGGTTAAGTTGCCTAACCTTGGAGCACCTGTCTCCCACACCTGGGACTTCCTGGTCACAATTCTACTCCTGACCTGACAGGCGTGATAAAGGGCCCCTGCTCACTGCTCTCCCTGTGCCCTTGCTGCTCCCAACAACAGCCCAATACCTTTGTGTCCCCACAAAATGTACATCCATCTAGAACCTATGAGTGTGACCTTATTTGGAACTAGGGTATTTGTAATTAGTTCAGGATCTGGAGATAGGGTGAGATAGCTCCCAGTCCAATGCCAAATGTTCTTAGGAGAGGACAGAGAGACATAGAGGAGATGGTAGCTATTTGATAACGATTCAACGGCTGAAGTGATGCTTCCACAAGCCCCGGGACATCCAGGAGCTAGGAGGCAGGAAAGACCCTCCCCCAGAACCTCCAGAGGGAGCTCAGCCCGGCAACACCTTGATTTCAGACTTCTGGCCTCCAGGACTGTGGGAGAATATATTTCTGTTATTTTAAGCCACCAAGTTTGTGATAATTTGTTATAGCAGCCAGAGGGAACTAATACATTTTCCTGTTGACCCTAAATCCAACAGATGCTTCTCAGCCTTCATTTACTGGACCATTGGACACAGGGCTACTGTCCACATGGTGTCTTTGTATGAATTAGGAAAGAACTCTACAAAAAGCCTCATATAAATATCCCTGTCTGTGATGTCTACGGGGAGAGTGGCTTGTGCATTGCTTGACCTGAACAACTGTACATGTGGCCCTGCCACTGACCACTTTCCCTCCTTGGAAGATGTCCTTGGATGCCACTCTCTTCTGGTTCCCACCTTCACAACTGGTCTGCCTTCACATACTTTTTGTGGGTTGAGGCTGGGGCTCCTCAAAGTTGGAGCCTGGGCTCTTCCCAGCTCTTCTGAGGCCTTCACCTTTCCTCCCAGTTGACAACCTCCTGTCCCACTTGCACATCTCAGTTTCAGACCTACTTGTCCACTTTCCTGCTGCGAGGTTCTCCCAGCTCCCTGACTCTGGGAACTTTCCCCAAACCAGTAACCTTCCAGTAGATACCTGAGACTGCCCTACACACCCCCTTTTCCACCCTGGCCCCAGCAAATCCATCAGCTTGGCCTTCAGAGCGTGTCCAGAGCCCATGTATGTCTCACCTGCTCCTCTTCCCAGGTCCCTATCTCGGGTGGCCCCAGCACCCAGATACCTTGCTGCTCTCTTGTCTGGCTGTCATCTTGCATATCCTGCATTCCCTTTCCTCCTGTGGGAGAATATATTTCTGTTGTTTTAAGCCACCAAGTTTGTGATAATTTGTGGTGATGGGACTGCTCTGCTCAGATGCCTGCTTTCCACAGCACTCCCACAGGAGCTCCCTCCCCAGCACCTCTGTACTTTCCTTCGTGTGGTTTGCACGAAGTGTGGGACTCTTTCTGGAGGTCTGCCCAGAAGCACCTGGAAATACCTTGAGAATCGAGCTGAAATGCTCCCTTGGTTGGCTTCCTCCTTCCTGAGGTCTCCTGGGAGCACACTCTTATAAGATCACCCCCATATGAATGCTTGCCTCAGGTTCTGCTGCTGGAGATGCCCCTAGCCAAAACCCAGTCCACCCACATCCAGTCAGTGACTTTGTCCGGTTGATGATGCTTCGCCTCAATCCACCTGATGCAGACCATGCATTCAATTTCAACACATATTCCTCAACCACCTTCCTTGGGCTTACAACTGTGGGTAAGCAGGGACTTGAGGGGAGTGGGAAGGCGCCACCCCCTCTATCCTACCATGCTTCAGCTGTGAGAAGGAAGTGTGTCCCACAGTGCACCTGTACTGCCTCCAGGCAGGTGCACGTGAGGCACCACCTTTCTGTGTGTCACTCAGGGCTCTTCCTGGACACCCCTCCTATACGCTGGGAGCCTCCCTTTAGGATAGGGGCATTGGGTGACTAGGTTGCTTTCTGTCTCCACAGCCCAAACCTATAAAATATTCCTTTTCTGGCTCAATGGACAGAATTTCTATGCTCGTAAGGAGCTAGCTAGGAGGGACCTGGCTCAGAGAATTGCTCTGTGACCTTGGGCAAAGTCCTCTCTGGGCTCCATGATCTTAAAAAAGTTGGGTGGGCTGCAAGGGGGACTCATTACCTACAAAAAGGCATCACAAAAGTTGAAGCTTGCGCATAGCACGCAGGTCACTGCCAGAATACCCTGGGGACCTCTAACCCATCACGGTCTGGGTGGATCTAGCGTCAGGGAGGCACTGTAGACTATAGTTCCCAGCATGCCACGCATTCAAGCACCGGGACCCGGGGCGAAGAGCCGCGCGGAGCATGCTGGGAATTGAAGTCCAACCCTTCCACACCCCCCGCCCAAGCCCGACCCAGTCCCGCACCTCTGGGAGTGGTGAGCCAGGCGAAGGTGCCACAGCGCGCGGCCCAGGCGCTGCTGCTGAAGCAGGAGCTGGCCCGGGGGCTCCCCGGCGCCGCTGTGTGCAGGCGTACTGAGGCCCATGTTCTCGAAGTAGTGCGCCAGGAAGGAGATCGGTTCCTCGGGCCGGGCCTCCAGCACCTTCAACAGGGCTGCGCGCAGCATTTTCGTCACGCCGAGCTGCTGCAGGAAGTCCTCCTCGCTCTCGGTCGTTGCTGCCGCCCCGGACACCGAGGGCCGGCTGCTGTCTATGAAATTGGCCGCCGGGGCCACGGCCAACCGCCGCTTCTCCACTGCCGCCATCTTCGCTGAGGGCAACGGGACCGGAAGTGCCGTCATATGCCACAGCGCGCTGGCGCCCCTTGGCGGCCATCTTGGTTAAGGGCAGAGGACGCCGGGTGACTCTTGGAAAAATTGGGAACTCAGTAATGCCAAGTCACCCTTTCCGTTAGGTTCTAATAGGCATTCCCCCCTTCAGTGTCCTCTTTACGTGTACTGGTTGCCTTTCTTGGCGTAGGCCCCCTAACTTTGCCAGACTGAAAAATGGCTCCCAAAGGAAGGGCTTGGTGCGGGAAGCCGGGTTGCTGGCGGACTCGGTAGTGGGCGAGTCCTTCCTGGCACGGTTCCCTAGCAACCAGTCTCCTCGGTGACCGGAGCAGCTGGCAGCGCGAGAGGGGATTGTTCCACCCGCAGTCAATGATGGAGCGCCGCCCTGCCCCATTTTTAATTTTTTCTTTGTGTCTTTGCCCCCCAGCCTGGCCTTCAACCCAATCCAGTCTTGGTCTGAGCTTATAGTTCACCGCTTGGGGGACCCCCGTCCCAGCCACCCCCAGGTTGCGGTCTGCTGGGCTCCCCCCGCCCCTAGACCCCTGTGCGTGTTTGAGGAGTCAGTAGTCCCCAGTCCCCCATCCCAGGTCACCCCCCCTCCCCCCATCCCATGCTGTCTCCTCTACGGCTCTCTACATTCCCATAGTTCCCTGGTGCTCACAGGCTCCGGTCCCTGGTATCCGCTGATGGTGTATCTTCTCTTTCTGCTCTGTCTCCTCCCTAGCTCCCTTAACAAGCCATCTCTTCTGTGTCTTTTTCCACCCTGTCCCCCCATCCCCCACCAAATACAGTCTCCATTTCTTTTGATGACCCCCAGTTATTCTTGAGTTCCAGGTTCCCAGTATCCAGGAAGAGGCACAGTATTTGTATTCCCCCTCCCCAGGCCAAGTGCACACTCCTCCAGCCCCAGGCTAGTGGGCCTGGGGCGTCTGTCTGTCCTGTTTCTCTGGGGAGTCGCCCAGGGCAGAGAAGTCCAGGGTCCTCCTACCACAACAGAAGCCACTAGGGTCAGACAGCATGCTCTTTATTCTCCCAGTTGGGGGCAGGGGCAGGTCCCCAGGGGTCCCACAGCGGGGAACCTGGCCAGCTGAGAAGCCTAGATGTTCTGGCTATCAGGGCAAAGGACCTTCTGTCAGCCCTCATGCTGTCCAGAGCCCTGCAATCATCCTCTAGTCACAACTGAGTTGAAGGAAGGCAGGCCACTTCGGCGGTGCTGGTGGGCCCTGTGGTCACCTGGTGGGCTGACGGCATCTCCACAGGCGACGGGTGAGGAACGCCAGGAGGAGTAGCCCCAGCACCAAGCTGCCCATCCACAGGGCTGTGGACATTGGTGGGGAGCCTGGGGAGAGAAGCATCGGGAGCTTCAACACCTCTTTGCAGTTTGTGGGGATAAGCGCAGCAGAATTTGCCAAGGGCTTCCAAATTTACCACATTCCCTAAGACTTAAGAAGGACGTAATGACTTAGAACAGCCATTTTTAACCTTTTTCATCCCATGGCACACATAAATTATTGAAATTCTGTGGCACGTTAAAACATATATTTTTTGCCGATATGACATAAAAACAGGTGTAATTTTTATTCATTCAAACGGGACGGCTATTGTTTTGTTGGCTGTTGTCATTTTTAAATGGACAATATAAGGGAAAGGAGTTCGGTGTCCCTGACTAAATAGGTATTGCATGTTTTAAAAATTCTTGTGCTCTTTGATTGAAAATTACTGGCTTAATCCAGGCCTGGAGCAGCCAGGCCAGAAGTGGCTAGGCCTGGAGCGGCTGGGCCCGGAGCAGTCGGGCCTGGAACAGCTGGGTCGGGAGCATCCAGGCCCGGAGTAGCAGCATCCAGGCCCAGAGCAGCTGGGTGTGGAGCAGCCCGGAGCAACAGAGGCCAGGCCTGGAACAGCCGGGCCTAGAACAGCTCGCTCCTCGCCTGCCCCTGCCCCAGGGCTGCTTCTCAGACATGGCTGGAAACTTTTGGGGGAACTTGAGGGTCTGCTGAATCAAATGATGAAGGCTTAAAAAAAAGAAGAAAAGAAAATCAGTGGCTTAGAATGTCTTTTTGAAATGTCTAAAAACCACTGGTATATCCAGAGAGGAAGAGGGAGATAGAAACATCAATGAGAGAGAATCATTGATCGGCTGCCTCCTGCACCCCCCCACTGGGGATCAAGCCACAATCCGAGCATGTGCCCTGACTGGAATCGAACCAGGGACCCTCCAGTCCACAGACTGACGCTCTATGCATCGAGCCACACCAGCCAGGGCTGGAGTGAATCTTTTGAAAGGTATGTAGGATCTTAGAGTTAGAAGTGGGCTGTCCACAGAGGCAGCTACTCACATGTCTATACTTGAAATGTGGCTTGTCAGGGTAGAGAAGTGCTTGCTGTCAGTGTAACATACACATTGTAAGAACATAAAATACCCATTCATACTTTTTTACATATTACACATTGAAGTGATGATATTTGAGTTATATTGGGTTCAATAAAATATATTATCTAGCCCGGCCAGTGTGCTCACTGATTGAATGTCAACCTATGCACCAAGAGTTTGCTGGTTTGGCCCTAACTGGTTTGGCTCAGTGGGTAGAACTTCGGTCTGTGGACTGAAGGGTCCCAGGTTCGATTCCAGTCAAGGGCATATATCTTGGTTACAGGCACATCCCCAGTAGGGGGTATGCAGGAGGAGGCTGATTGATGTTTCTAACTATCCCTCTCCCTTCCTCTCTGTAAAAAAATTTTTTAAAAAAATATATATTTTTAAAAAGAGTTTGCTTGTTTGATTCCTGTTCAGGGCACATGTCTGGATTTTGGGCTCGATCCTCAGTGGGGTGTGTGCAGGAGGCAGCCAATTGATGTTAATGTTTCTCTATCATTGATGTTTCTCTTTTTCCCTTTCCCTTCCTCTCTAAAATAAATAAAAACATTTAAAAACATACATTATTTAACTTATTTTAATTTTTTTTCTGAATATGGCTACTGAAAAATTTGAAATGACCTAACTGGCTGTATTCTGTTTTTATTCCACAGGCTGTTGCAGTCTATACAGTTCAGTTTACAGACTGCTGTGGCTGTGAAATCTGTGGCTGTGTAGTTCCTGAAATGTAGTCCTTGCCATGCCAGGCAACTGTGAACCCGCTGAACAGTGGGGGAAGCAGACTGGGCAGGGCACCTCCTCATCTAAGGCCTGTATGCCAGCCTCCCTCCCTCCCAGGCTCCAGGGCCCACCCCACCCTGCCACACTCACAGACTTCCGGGAGCAGGTACAGACGGGCTGTGTGGCCCCCTGGGTCCAGGCGACACTGGAACCAGCCCTCAGGGTTGCATCCAGCCCACAGCACGGTCAGCCAAGCCTGGGCCCCGTCCTCCTTCCTCTGGTAAGCTGCCAGACCGCCGGGCGCCCGGGTCCAACGTACAGCTGCGCCAGGGCCACAGGCTGCTTCGCACAGCAGCTCCAGACCCCCTGGTATTGGCGACTGGTGGATCTCAGGTTGGCAGGGCCGGGTGGAGCTGTTCCCAGCCTCGGGGCCAGGACTCTGGGGGCTGTGGGTGGAGGCCTGCTCCAGGGTGGCCTCCAGGGAGGTTGTGACCGGGGCCTTCGGGGAGGTCAGGACTCCCGGGGCTGTGGGTGGAGTTCTGCTCCAGGATGGCCTCCAGGGAGGTTGTGGCCGGACTGGAAAAGAGGGCAGCGTTTTTCTTCCTGTCACCTCAGTTGCTTTCTTGCCTCAGTCTCTCCGTCTGGACCATGGGGTTGGGTCAAAACTGCCTCAACTCCCACCTTGGGCCACTTGGTGAATTGCAATGTATGTGAGTGGGTGGGACTGGGGTGGGTATGTCGTGGCCTTCCCCACCCTCAGGGAACTTCTGAACCTCCGGATCTCACTTTCCTCATGTAAAGGAGATGAGAGCCCACCACCGAGACCCACACATGTGCCCGGAGCGTAGGGTCAATGAGCAAGAGCATTAGATTTTATTATTATGGGACTAGGAGGTGGAGAGAGGGAGGGTGCATCTGACACAAACTGAGCACCTGCTGTGTGCCAGGGCCCATGTTAGATATCACTCGTTCATCATTCAGCACCTGCTTACTGAATACCTGGTATGTGCTAGGCGCTGTAACAGTTATTCATTTAGAGTGTATCTATTCAGCACCTATGTTCTAGACACTGTTTTAGCCAATGAGAACACCACCATGAGTAATACACACATTCCTATCTCGGTGAAGCCAGGAGTAGGGGAAAAATAAAAAGAACATATGGTAAGTCAGATGTTAATAAAAATGTTTCAATAAACATTCAACGAGAGAGAGAAAGAGTTTGTGTGTGTGTGTGTGTGTGTGTGTGTGTAAACATGTCCATCTGTGAGGGGAAGGGGCAAGTCAGGAGAAGGCTCACTGGGAAGGTGACCCGAGAGAGGTGAGTAGGAGAGATTTGGGGGAAGAGCATTCCTAGTGGAGGGCACAGCACATGCAAAGGCCCTGAGGCTGGACCGTGTCTGATGGAGGAATAGTGAGGACATCTGTGTGGCTGGAGCACAGTGAGCGGGGAGCGAGGGAGGAAATAAGGGCAGGAGATGATGGTATAGGTGGTGCAGAGCCTTGGGGGCCCCAGGGAGGTCTTGGGGTTTTATTTGGAGGGAGGTGGGAGCCCTGAACTGCTGTGAGCAGAACAGGTTGGACTCAGGTGCTCTCAGGCGCCCTCTAGTGGCTGCTACTAAGAAGTAAAACTGTGGGGATGAGGGTGGGAGCCAGGGACCAAGGGAAAGGGCAGAGCTGGTACCAGAGTACATGGAAGGTAGGTGCTCAGTAAATTTGTTGAATGGATGAATAAATAAATGATTTAGAAGTATCTCTCTGGCTGCCAGTAAGGGACAGACTCAAGAGGGATGCAATTTCCCCATCTTCCTAAGGACTCTGACCGAGAGTAGGTCCTAGATGGGGCCCCAGCAGGTGAGGGGCAGAATCAGAATTACAGAAGAGTTGCTGCACACCACTCATCAAGGCTCCTAGGAGCTGGGTGGTGTGACTTCGCCCACTTCCTGGGGGACACAAAGGTGCAGGGCAGGCAGGACCCTGCAGACTCACCTGAAATGGGCTTGCGGTGGCTCCGAGGCTCCATGCCCGGCAGCCTCATGGTCGCCTGGCAGTGGAGGGTGAGTGGAGCAGGTTTCCCCAGGGGGGGAAGCTGCCAGCGCTTTGTCACTTGGAACAACTGGTCCTCACCCTCCTGGGGCTCCTCGTCCTCCTCCTGGCCCAGGTCCTGCACCCCCTCCAGTTCCTGGTCCCCCAGGAGTAGGGACAAGGAGAGGACATCAGGGCTGGCAGGCGTGATGTTGTGGGCTGTGCAGGCCAACTCTTGGGCCTGCCCAGCCACCAGGGCCTCTGGGGAGACCGTCAGCTGGTCCGGGAAGGCTGTGTAGGGAGGTTTGGAGGGACACGGGCTGAGCCTAGAGCAGTGGTTCCCTTTTTTTTGGCCACGGTCCACCTAAGTATCTCTGAAATCCTGATGTCCCCCCTGTTACATATAACTTTAATATATATGTAATTTCTTTATTGATTTCAGAGAGGAAGGGAGAGAAAGAGATAGAAACATCAATGATGAGAGAGAATCACCGATCGGCTGCCTCCTGCACACCCCCTGATGGGGACTGACCCGCAACCCAGGCATGTGCCGTTGGCCAGAATCAAACCTGGGACCCTTCAGTCCGCAGGCCGACGCTCTATCCATTGAGCCATGCTGGCTAGGGCCATGTAATTCTCATTATTCAAAAAGCGAACTCTATTCTTGGGGAGGAAGCCTACAAAGGCCATTAACTTGGTCTAAACAAGCTTTAAAGAACACGGCATCCATGAAAGACAAAAATAAAAGAACGAAAGGACAGTTGAAGTACTGAGAAAGAAATCACTAAGAAATTATTTTAAAAATAACATGAAGTGACATGAAAAAAAAAGCAAATAAAGTTTCAAAACATATAATAGAGAGCTGAAATGCATAAATATGTCACTATATATATATATATATATATATATATACACACACACACTGTATAGAGCCCCTAGCACCATAAGAATGGCAAAAAATTCACTATTAATAACTCATTGTCGAATTGCCCCCCTTAGAGATCAAATTGCCCTTTTGGGAACCACTGGCCTAGAGGGTGAAGAGTGGGGCCCTGAGGAGGGTGATGCGTGTGGGACCAAGCAGGAAGGAGGAGGGACTGCTAGTGCAGAGAGACGGGGAGGACCCAGTGGCCACACCTTGAGTGGCTATAACGTAAAAAGGATGCTGGAGAGGGGCCTAGCGCAGAGAGCGGGGTCAGGTATGGGAGGTCTGGGGGTGGGTTGGGGTTGTGGGAGTGAAGGCTGGGAGCCTGGGGGGAGGGGGAGCATGTGGCGAGAACGAAGTGGGTTGCATTTCAGTTTGAGCTGGAGCAGGGTGGGCAATCTGGGAAGGCTCCAGGGCAGAGGTGGCATAGAAACAGATAAAGCAGGGCTGCGAGGAGGGGCGGGGGCTCACCGAACACCAGGAGCCGCACGTGGTGCCGGAGAGTGTGGGTCCCGCAGGTGCCCACACATGTGTGGATCCCCGCGGACGACAGTGAGGCGTTGTGCACGGAGAGGACGCTGCTGCCGGCGCCTGACTGCACGGCGCCCAGGCTGGTGTCCAGGCCCCGCCACTGCACCACGGCGGCCCGGCCGTCCGCACAGGCCCGGCGGCAGGTGAGCTGCCTCGATTCGCCCACGGCCACTGCCACCACGGGCTCGGGAGGCTCCACCTCCAGGCGCCCACCTGCAGGCAGACAGCGCTCTCGGTCCCACCCCTCCCATCCTCAGACCCCTGCCCCAGCTCCCAGCCCCTCCAAAGAGGTCCTCTGTGGATCCCCATCACCTTCCCTGAGCCTCCCCACCGCCCTCCACCGAGCTCCCTCCGCACCCCTCCCTGCTCCCCCCTAAATCCCCTGCCCTCTCAGAACCCCCTCTTTTCATCGAAACCCCCTCTTCCGAGCTCCCTCCGCACCCCTCCCTGCTCCTCCCTAAGCCGCTGCCCCCTCGGTGCCCCTCCGTGCTCACCACGGCCTTGCTGGAGGAGCCCCAAGAGGAGGGGGAGCAGGAAGGCCAGGTCCTGTTCCATGCTGGGCCCCGGCTCTGTCCATGGCCCTCGAGAAAAGCGGCTTAAATAGCGGTGCCTCGGGCTCCTTCCTGCCGCCCCAAGACCCCGCTTCTCCTCCCTCCCCCGCTCCCCCCGCCCAGCTGCTCCTGGGGGTTTCCCAGCCTGACCCCCCCGACCCTGCAGGCGACAGAGAGGCTGGGGCTGGGGGCCAAGGGGGCGGGGCCAAGGTCACAGCAGATAAAGCGGGGGTGTTGGGGGGTGGGGGTGGGGTGGCGGGGCGTAGTTCTGAGCCAATTCCAGGGCTCCCTTTTGGAGGCGGAAAGGTTGGGAGGTGCGGCCGGAGGAAGGAGACCGTGAGGTCAAGTGAATGGAAAACCCAGCGAGGCTCCAGGGTGGGCGCCGCCCGCGCGCGCCCCGTCGGGGGAGTCTCGGCCTTCATTGCCCTGAGCGGCCGCACGGGGTCAGTGCTGAGCAGCTGCCTTCCCGCTCCAGCCGGCGGCCTGGGGTGCGGGAACCCCTGGGGGGGAAGGGTCTTTCCTATGGAACCTTCTGCGGGAGCGGGTTTTTCTGGTGGAGGGGTCTCCTGGGGTGATGGAGCTGAGGCCCACCCGTGCCTGGGACACGTCAGGGCCTACCTCTGAGCATGCTCCCCTCTGTCAGAGGGACAGCTGGTGGGAGCCTGGGAGCCCCTGGCCTGAGGGTGTCTAGTTCCATAGAGAGACTTGCGTCTGGGGGTCCACAGGAGTGGCCTCGGTGCCCTCCTGGCCTTTGCGGGACTAAATCTCCCAGGAAGGGACCCTGGCCAGACTTCCCACCACAGCAGTCATCCATCAGCCCGTCCTGAGGCCCGAATTTGCCTCTCAGCCTAGTTCCCGTTTCTCTGTCTGCCCTTTCCACCTGACACCTCTCAGCACACAACCTTCTGAGCACACAGACAACACAAGGCTGCCTATGGCACAGAGCAGTGTTTCCCAAACTTCTCTCATGATGAGAATCAACTGGTGCAGTTGTTAAAACACAGATTCCTCCCGCAGAAACCGGTTTAGCTCAGTGGTAGAGCATCGGTCTGTGGACTGAAAGGTCCTGGGTTCGATTCCGGTCAGGGGCATGTACCTTGGTTGCTGGGGTGTGCAAAAGGCAGCTGGTCGATGTTTCTCTCTCATCGACATTTCTAGCTCTCTATCTCTCTCCCTTCCTCTCTGTAAAATATCAACAAAGTATATTAAACACCCCCCCCCCCCACACACACATTCCTGAATCACAACTAAGAAGTGCTAAACTAGGATTTTTGGGAACATATAGGTAAAATTGTATACTTAACTTAGTGCTCTGTCTTAGATTCTAGTTTAGCACTTCTTAGTTGGGACTCAGGAATCTGTATTTTAACAACTCCACCAGGAGATGGAATTTCTAAGCACCACCGCCCTGCCTGTCTGTGTCCCCCCAGCCTCTTGTCAGAGGCAGAAACGGAGGCTCTGAGGGGCTGGGAACAGAAGGGGTAAACTGAGGCTAAGGGACTGACTGAGGTCTCAGAGGCAAAGGTCCATGTGTGTGAACTCAGTGTTTACTTTCCTTGGTCCCAGCCCCCCCTCTGCCCTGGTGCCGGGAAAAGCCGCACAGGAAGATGGACTCCAAGTTTCTGTCCTCCTCAGCTCGGAGGTGTGGGCCTTCTCGGGAAGCTGGGCCCTTAACCCAGCTGGCCTGGAGAATGGGCCTCTTCCCAGGCTCTGACCCCACTTCCTGCTGCCCTGGCAGTTGAGGCCCCTTGCAGGGCGTGCCCAGCTCTCTGGGCCCTGCCTCCCCCGCTGTTGCCCACCCCAAGCTCCCAGGTCTGAGCTCTATCTGTGTAAGCGGTGGGTGCATCTTCACATTCAGGTTTATATCGCTGTAAGAGAGCACTGAGGAGAACCCCATGACCTGGGGTGGGTGGGTGGGTGGTCAGTGCCACCACCCTGAGGATAGGTGGGCTGAATAGATGAAGAAGGTTCTGGGCAGAGGGCAGCCTAGGGAAAGGGAAAAGAAGGGGGTGGAGAAAGAGACAGACAAAGTGAGCGGGGGAGGAGGGTGGCATGGGAGAGAAGAGATAGGTCAGGAGTCTGGGTGGACCTCATGGAGGGGTGAGGGGGAGACCCCTGGAAGCCTGAGGACAACAATAGCTGTGGACTGAGCCAAATTCACACCTGCATCTGGGACATGTGGTGCTGTCCCTGGAAGACTCAGTCCATGGGAGCCGCCGGGTTTTGGGCTGAGGTCCTTGCTCAACCCTTCCTCCCCGCAACCCTTGGCCTGGGCTTCCTGCAGACTCTCCCCAGATCCCCTTCCCGGCATTGTCCCCACCAGGGAGGAAGTCCTCAGCGGCCACGGCAGGAAGTTGTCTTCCCACGGAGGGTCCCAGCCCCCTCTCCAAGACCCAACATCCTGGCCTTTCCTGCCCCATGACCACACTGGTGCTCTGCAGGGACCTGGGCCAGGAGGGTGTCCAGGAGAGGGAGCCCTGGAGACGCCTTTTCCCTCCAGGAACACCTTCTCGCCAGCCTGGCCGAGCTCCCCTCACCGGCACCACTGGTCAGTGGGGGGCCTCGAGGCTCTTTCTTTGTGGTTGGCTGCAGCTGTGAGGGCAGGTGGGTCCTTTGGGACTGCTGTAAGACCCCCCGCCCCAATCTCTGGTGCTGGGGGACCCCATACCTGAAATGTCAGCCCAAGTCCTGCCCCTTGGGGTCACTCCCTGTTTTGGTGAGTCTTGGGGATGGTGGAGGCCTGGGTGGGTCTGTGTAATAATGACCACACAGAAGGCTCTAGAGTAGGAAGAGATGTTTCAGTTCATCAGGTCTTCCATCCCCTGCTGGCCCTTGAGCTAAGCTGAGGGGGCGTGGCAGGAGTGACACCCAGGGCACCACACTGGGGGGTCAGGACCCCGAATAAATAACTAACAGAATGTCTATGAAGACAGCATTGTTTCATGAATCTGTTTGATGAAGCTGAGCTCAAGTTTGGCAAAACAGGTGGTGGCAGGTGGCCGTCCAATGGGTCTGCATGCTGCCCAGCCCCTCTGGCAGTCGGGGGCCCAAGATTTAAGTCACCAGGAGTGTCAAGGGGAGCCAAGGCTTTGAGCGGTGACATCTGGGTTCAGACTGGTTGGAAGTGGCGAGAAGATCCCCAGAGACGGCAGCTGGTCCCTCATTGGGGAACAGGGTTCAGGTGAGCAACTCCTCAGGAGATAGGTGTAGGGAGGAGCTTTGAGGGTGCCAGGGCCCCTCACTTGCCCCAAAGGGCAGGGAGGCACGTCTTGGTGGGAGCGGATTTGGGAGTGTTGGCTCTATCACCCCGAGGCAGAGGATCTGAAGCTTGATCTCTGACCTCAGGCCCTGCGGCTACCCGAGGCCATGCTGTTCTTTAGAAGCAGCTCCTTACTGGGGAATTGCAGGGGTGGGGTAGGGTGGGTGGGTGGGTGGGGGGAGAGGAGCTTCAGGGGCTCATCACTGGGCTTCTCGTGGGTATTGGGCCACAGGGCCAGGTGCTTGTGCTGGCCGATGAAAGGGGCTCTGGGAGCAGGTGCAGAAGAGGAAGAGTGGCCTGAATGTGGTCTTCTTTGGAGCGTGGGTGGTGGTGATGAATGAAAACAGAAGGATTTGGCATGGGTACCAGAGCTAGCTGTGGGCCCCGTGTGTGCAATTTCCTGTCCCAGACCAGCTGGCCGCCCCTGGATAACTGACCCAGCAGAGAACAACCAGGTCACACAACAAACAGGACAGGGCACAGCCCTGACCCACTCTCGGCTACTGACCACCTGAAATGTCATTTAAAATGTTTATTTTATTTTTACTTATTATTTTTTAAAATATATTTTTATTGATTTCAGAGAGGAAGGGAGAGACAAAGATAGAAACATCAATGATGAGAATCATTGATCAGCTGCCTCCTGCACGCCCCCTTCTGGATATCAAGCCCTCAACCTGAGCATGTGTCCTTGACTGGAATAGAATCTGGGACCCTCCAGTCTGCAGGTCAACGCTCTATTCACTGAACCAAACTGGCTAGGGCTTATTTTATTTTTAGAGAGTGAGAGAAAGGGAGAAGGAGAGAGAGAAACATCAATGCAAGAAACATGGACTGGTTGCCTCCCATATGCACCCCAACTGGGCATGGAACCCACTACCTGGGTATGTGCCCTGACTGGCATTGGGGCCAGCAATCTTTTGGATGATGCTCCACCAATTGAACCACATGGGTCAAGGCTGTAAGTTTTAATTTTAATTTCAACTTAAAACAGATACTTAACTCAGTTACTGGAAAACTTCAGTCAGGGAAACAGTCCTTAATGAAAACTGAAAGTGCCCTCCACAGAGACAGAAGTAAAGCTGGTTTATATAAACAAGAGTTCCAGCCCATTCCTGACCGGTCAGTTCTCATGTAAATGAGGACTCCAAATCTTCAGTTTGATTGGTCCAAAGAGCACTGCATGGCCCTAGCCAGTTTGGCTCTGTGGATAGTGGGTCTCCAGTTTGATTCTGGTCAAGGGCACATGCCCAGGTTTCGGGCTCGATCCTCAGTAGGGGGTGTACAGGAAACAGCCATTCAATGAGTTTCTCTCATCATTGATGTTTCTATCTCTTCTTCTCCCTTCCTCTTGGAAATCAATAAAAAAAAAAAAAAATAGTGGACCTTTCAGTCCGCAGGCTGACGCTCTATCCACTGAGCCAAACCAGTTTTGGTCGGAAAGTACATTTTATTTTATATTTTCTAAAACTAATTTTACTTATGCCACCTATTTCTTTTCTTTTTGTTTTTCAACATGGCTGCTGGAGAATTCAAATGATCTTGTGTAGCTCAAATTCCATTTCTGGTGGGCAGGGGTCTGTGGCCCTCCTGGGACACTGAATGGAAATATTCTTGGTCACGTGATGAGCTCCCCTCTCTACCTCACCTCAGGCAGAGACCTGGGAACCCCTGCTGTTTGAAGGGGTTGGGACAGAGGTTCTCACCTGGGGGTAATTTTGTCCACTCCCCACCCTGGCGGACAC